GATAAACAAAAACAAAAAAAAAACAAATATTAAAAATCTACCCTTTACCCAATAGAGAATGCAGACATTTTAGAGTCTTCAAAGCCAAGCTAGAAATGACCTGCATTTAAGAAAACTCCTGTCCTGGACTCTCTCAAAGCCACCTCATGCCAGTGATGGTTGGAACCTTGAGCAGGCTCCCTTGAGCACTTACCCACTTAAAACTAGCAGTTATGGCCCTGGCCAGTTTGGCTCAGCGGTTAGAGCGTCGGCCTGCGGTCCGGAGAGACCCGGGTTCGGTTTTCGCTAAGGGCACGTACTTCGGTTGCAGTTTGTCCCCGGCCCTGGTTGGTCATGCGGGTGGCAGCCACTCGATGTGTCCCTTCACGTCGATGTTTCTCACTCTCTCTCCCTTCCTCTCTCTCCCTCCCACTGTATCTGTACAAAAAATGGAAAAATATCCTCGGGTGAGGATTTAAAAAAATAAAAAATAAAAATAAAAAAAAAATAAAACTAGCAGTTATGTTGGAATCGCTAATGATTCAGCAAACACCAAACTCTATTGGAATCCCTCTCCGAAAGCCCTGTCCAGTCTCAAGTCGCTTCCTTGGAGATTCACCTTTTCTGAACTTCTGCCATATTTGTTAATCACCCTACTAAATTGGGCAGAATATGTGTCTAGACCCTGGTACCTGCTTGCACAGAACTCTGAGAATTGCAGTTCTGTTCTAAATGGTCAGAAAGTCACATCATGGTCTATATATTCACATCTCAGGTTCCTCCTGGGTAAAATATTAATAAGCTTACTTGACAGCATTATGGAGATTAAATGAGACAACAAACCATAAAGCCCATAGCATAGTACACTAGGAGTAGTCAATATTAGCTAGCTAATATTATATTATATAATTACTAATAATATAGTATTATTATATTATTCTTATTACTACTGATGAGAGTTTAAGTATATTGAATTTAATTAACAACAGTATGACTCGCCATACATGCAACTGGATATTTAAAAAAAAAAAACAAAAAAAAACCCGGTGTTGGATCCTTTCTCAGCCAAACAGTGATTTAAGAAGAAAAAGACAAGAGGTAGAATTATCCATAGAGTCAATTGGGGTCATGTTGTGTCTATGATGTCTGAATGGATCAGAGAAAGAAGGTAAGGTTGGAACCGCCAACCTTTATGGGTTAAAGGAAGGAAAGGCTTGCATGAAGAGGTGGTGTTTTTGAGACCTTTGTCTCTTTACTGACAGAATCCTTACATATTCCATTTTTCTATGTTATAGATTAAAAGCAATAGACTCAGAGAAGACATGCCTTTCAGTAGACAAACCTAGAAAAATATACCTGAATTTACATATACACATACAAATATAACACATATACATATATTTGCATATAGATACACACAATATACATGAATGTATATATTTATGTGTACATGTGTATGCATATATATATGCATGTGTATATATGTATACATATGTGTACAGACATATATAAAATCATGAGTTCACACTGATACTTCTAATTCCAATCTACCCCCACATGAGTTTCCTTATTGCCCTCCCCCATCCATATGCTGATGTCCCTCTCCCATGTGAGAATTCTAGCTCCCAACAGCATGAACACGTTTCCTCATTTGCCCAATGCCACAATACATCTAAAATAGTTTTAAAATTGCTTAACACACCCACCACAAGATGAATAAGGTGTATATGCTAAAATAAATTCAGGAGTTGGTTTCATTTCTCCCCCACTCAACCTCACCCAAGACAGAAGGTAAATAGTCAAACACTATCCATAAATTACTTGGATTTGTTCTTGCTTTTTCTTTTTTCTCTTCAGTGTGGTTGTAGTGTTTATTTGAAATACAACTGGGTTCATTTGTTTCCGTTTGTTTCCAGTTTTAGGTTTTTCTTTCCCTTCCCATCTTGCTTTAATTTTATTTTTGAAAATGTAGAATATTAATGCTGCCAAAAGTCAAAACAATACAAAAAACATTGTTCTCAGGGAAGAGGCACTCCCTCCTGAATCACTTTCATTCCCTCCCTCCAGTAAATAATCAACTTCATTGTTTTCTAGCCTGTCTTTCTTGTGTTTCTTTTGATAACAAAAGATATAGATATATGTATTATTTTCCCTGCTTTCTTACACAAAAGATGGAATACTGTATATTCTATTTTGCACTTTTCGTTTTATTAGTTAATATTTCCTGGAAATCATTCCATATCAGTTTAGAGAAATCTCCCTCGTTTTGTTTTGGGAGTTTGTTTTATACAACTGCATAGTATTCCATTGTGTGTACACACCCCTATTTTATTCAACCAATCACCTATACTTGGACATTTAGGTAGTTTCCAAATATTTTACAACTACAAATAATACTACAATGTGAACTTTGCGCATATATATTTTCATATTGTTGAAAGTGCATCTTCAGGGTAAATTCCCAGAAGTAGGATTTTTGCAGCCAAGAGATAAATGCACATGTAGTTTTGTTAAATATGGCCAAACTCTCCTCCATAGGAATGATACTCTTATTGTAGAAATGTGTGGGTGGGCTTTCTCCATTGCTAGTGGGAGTGAGGTCCTTACGATAGCTCAAGAAAAAGAACTTTCTGAGACTCTCACGGGACCATGAGTGGTTTTTATTTTCATGCAATTACAACCCTCAGTTTCCAAAGTCCCATTTCCCTTAATCCAACCCTGAAAGATGTGCAGCTGGGGATTCAGCAGAGCTAGAAGCAAAGCCAGTGTTCAAAGTTTCCATTCCATGGTGGAGCTGGGTCCATTGTAGCATTAGACTAGTTATAGTCCATTAGTCCATTGCGTGTGGAGTCCATATGGCCATGACATGGGCAAATGCAGGACCATGAGAGCCCCTCAAGCCAAGAGCCAAGTGCAACATGCCAAGAGGCAAGAGCACAAACAAGAGAGCAAACTCCTTTGTTTAGGAGTTTAAATATCTCCAATTTTCTCATGCTTGCAGTGGTCATGACTACTCTGGTCAATGACCTGTTTCCAGGTGTGACTGACAGGCAAGTACCTTCCTACATCACCCAGACTTTACTGAGCATGCATCTAATATTTGGCCTTCCCTTTGCTTCTTTCCAGTTGTTAATAACTGGGTTCGTTAAAACAGTATCAATAGCATTTTGGAGTCCCATAAGCAATGAATGAAAGTGCCTGTTTCCCCACAGCCTCATCAACAGAATACACTGTCAAGCTTTTTAAGATTGCCCATCTGATGAATAAGAAATGACATCTCATTGTAGTTTTAATTTGCATTAATCTTACTATAAATGAAGATGAACATTTTTCGTATATTTAAAGCCATTTATATGTCTCCCCCTTATTTTTATGAATTGCCTGTGCCAGAATTTTGTACTATACCTTACTCTACGTTAGGGCTAGTCCTCCCTCAGAGCTCTTTCCTTCCAGTGTTTCCCTAGCCAGTCTTGTGCATTTGTTTTTCCACACAAACTTTAACATCGACTTGTCTTGCTCTTTTAGAACACTCACTGGTTATTGTATTAGGGTTACATTACACTTATAAATTAACAGGGAGAACTGACCTCTTGATCAAGTTGAATAAGACATGTTATTCTTTTTGTTTGAATTATTAAACATTGATGTTCTCTCTTAGACACTTAGGTATCTTTGCCCATTAAATAAAATAAATATTTTTTTAGCAGTTATGACGTCCTCAACACTATATTAAACACTATAGATAAAGTAAAAAAGTAGGTTCTGTCCTCAAGCAGCTTAGAATTTCATGAGAGAAGCAGACTAACACACCTAAAGCAATGCAAGCAACTCAAGACCCCCGTAAAGAAGCTATCCATTGTACAGCCAGACTACACATGCTATGTAAGCTCAGAGGACAGGGAGAGAAATGAAGGCTGGATAACAAGGGAAGACATTGGGCTGGATTGAGATTGAAATCATGTGCCCCAAAAGTTGTGTAGGATTTAGGTGGGGTGGCAGCATAGAGAAAGGAATCCCAGTGATGGGCACCCAGGTAAAAGCTCAGATGTGGACTGAGTGGATATGTCTCACAGAACAGAAGGCCCCCAGCCCAACTCTTAGTTGCACTAGTGGGGAAGCCACCATCCCTCTCTTCCAACCTCTGAGTTGTCTCAAATCCTCATTATATACTTATTAAAATTAGTGAACATCTACTAGGCTTCCAGATATGAGTCCTTTAGAATGGTCATTTCTGTACGTCATTACCTTTTCAGGGAATGGTCTAGAGTTGTGCTATCCAATATAGCAGCTACTAGGCACATGTGGCTGTTGAGCCCTTTTAATTTCTCATTTGATTTCATGTCATTTAAATTTTTTAAGTGGAAGCAGTGTAAAATATTTTTCTGTTGAACCTGACTTCATTGTTTTGGGGAGGACTGCATTTCACGTTACCATGGCATTGCCACTGCATATCACTATTGTATTGCAGTGTGCGTGTCCATTGTATTTTTTAATGTGGCTACCAGAAAAAAATTAAATTAGAGAGAGAGAGCACTCTATTTGACAGCACTGGTCTAGAGCCTTACAACTCAGTGTGGTCTGGTCAGCATCATGTGGGAGTCATCCCAAACCTTCAGAATCTGCTAGCTTACAAAGACATCCCCCCCCCCCCATTACCCCAGTCAGGTGATTCTTATGCACGGTCATAGAAGTACTGAGTTGGATGACTCAGAAGACATCCAGGCCTCTGGTAAGTACCTTAGAGTGGCTCCTATCCTTCTGGAGGTTGGGGGAGGGGGGGAGGAAGAAGCAGGGAGATCCCTGCCTGCCACTGTGATGTCACAGAGCAACCCTCATGTGTCAGCCAGCCCCACCCTGACTGGTTTCCTAGCTGAAGGACAGTCTTTCCATCCTCTCCAGCACCTCACACCACCTCTGCAGGCAAGGGGTGGGGGCTGATTCATCTTCTTCACACTAGATACTCATTCCACACAACCAGTTAAAACAGAAAAGAAGAGAAACTGAAACATCTTTGAGAACTTCAAAAGTGAATGAGCAATCCCTGTCAACTGACTCAAAATGTTTGTCTCACCCAGAAGGTAGGTACCTTTATTTTTGAAATCTCATGACTATCTCACGTGTAGTGCCCTTAATGTTAGATTCGTAATGCAGGTTATACAAATTCATCAATTTATTTCACAAGCTTATGGTAAGAAGCTTGAGAACGTACTGCAAGATTACACAAAATGGAATAAAAACACATCACTCAAGCCCAGTTTTTATTGATAAACCTAGAGCTGTCCACACCTTGGCCTTTTACTTTTTCATCTTCTTCCATTAAATCTGCCATTTCTTCTTCCTTTGTCTCTTCATCTTACTTTTCCTCTTTGCTCCCAGGGCTTCTTAGAGCCCCTAGCTTTTCCTTTTTCCCTTCATCTGTATGATTCCTGTTGCCAAAATCTGGCCCCCTGATAAAAGACTCAGTGGTGGTGGAAAAAAAAAAAAAAAAACAATGTGTAGCACTCTAATGAACTGAAAGGGTAGATATTATAAGTTCTCTTTCAGAGAACAGTGAGGAAGCTCCATGGTCCTGCTAGAAGCCAGCTCTGGCCTGAAATCTCTGGAACTAAGAAAGAGAGCATAACCTTAGACTCTTTTGGCCTCTGAAAATCTGAATCTGTAGAGGTCACTCTAGACTCTGGAAGACCCTCACAGCCAGCAAAGATGTCTTGGCTTGTTTAGGGTAGGACCCACATCTGGAAGTGACTTGCCTCCCATTTGAAAAAGTTGAGAACTGCCAGCCTTCAGCTCAAAGGGTTCCTAAGAAGGAAAAAGTTTTCATTATCATATATCTTGTTTTTCTCAAGAGAGAAAAATGAAGCTTACTGGTGGCCAGAGAAATACATACGCACACAGAGTAATGTAGTATGTATGCTCTTCATTGGTTGGAAGTTAAGGATCTCAGAGGAAAGGATAAGACAGGACCTAACAAAGGGACACTTTGGGGACTGCAGAGCAGAACTAGCGATTCTGAGAGCCATCGGAGAATGGCTCCCTGGCACAGAAGCAGCCCACAGTGAATAGATCGTCCATAGAAGAACCCTCAGAAATGGATAGGAATATGATAGAAAAAGCAAGCCAGAGTAAATTTTATTTACTATTGGTTTATGAGGAGAGACAGAGGGAATATGGGACAGTCTGCTAATCAGTCTTTATGTGAAGTATAAAGTACACTTAATCCATTGCTTCATTCATTCTGTGTGAGTTTCACAAGCCGGCCTGCGAAGTGAACAATTTGATAAGGGGAAGCCTGCTCATGAGTCAGGTGGTTTTGAATACTGACTCCACCTTTTACTAGCGCTGTGGCCTTGAGCAAGCCAAATGCTCTGAATTTGATTCCTTGTGTCTGGAGTGGTTGTGAGGATTCAATCAGATGCTTGTGAAACGTCTAGCAAGGTGTCTGGTGCACAGAGTGGTTCCTTCCCCAACTTGTTCTCCTAATTTACTTCTGAGGAAACAGTCCCTTCGCGAGAAAGGAGTGACTAGAACTCAGATCCGCTTAGGGATTCGTGGCCCCAAAGTTTCCCTGTTGTTAGATTCGCGAAGTGAGGCAAAGACAGCCTTGTTTTAGAACAGGAGCCAGGTAGGCGCAGGGAATGCCTGATGCTGGGTCCCACAGCCACCCGGCACCTCCCGACCCTGGGCCTGGGGCCTGGGCGTGAGGAATGCACGGGACGCCCCAGTCTCAGGCTCCCGCCGGCCGGCCTCCCAGGGCAGCGCTGGGGCCGCCCGCCCTCCGCCGTCAGGCCGCGGGGCCGCTCCAGCTCGGCGCCCACGTGGCGGGCCCTCAGCCACGCCCGGTCGCGTCCTTGGGCCCCGAGGACCGCCCTCCCTCCCTGCCTCGCAGGTTCTTCCTCTGGGAGGGGCCCCGCGACGGGTTCTCCGCAGACGGGGAGGAAGACGGACCGGCTCCCCGCCCCACCCGGGGACGTCCAGCCCGGCCGCTAGGGCGGGGCCTAGCCAAACAGTTCAAAACACTCTCTCGGCGCGTCGCTGTGGCAACGCGCACCCGTTGCTAGGCGACCCGGCAGCCGTAGTAAACCGAGTGCTGGTGTTACTCATCCAGGGAGGGGGCGGAGAGGGAGCCAGCGGGGACTCGGCTGGACTCCGGCACCCCGACTGCCGGGGGAGAAGGGGGGAGCAGGAAAGGAAGGGAGGAGGGCGGCGCACGGGGAATGGAAATGGGGCGGCCCAGCCGTGCCAGCCGGCAGCCGCACCCTAATCACCCTTCCAGAGGCCGCTTGAGTTAGGCCCGCAGCCCTGCCCCTCCCTGCGGTCCCCAAGAGCCCAGAGCCCACAGCCCCAGCGGGCCCCGAGGGCGCCCTGACCGTGCGAGAGCGATTGCCCCACAGGATGTGCACATGTGGCTGACCCTCTGATTCACTCCAGATGCTGGGGGCGCTGAAGAAAGGCCGCTTCCTCTCCTGGAAATGACTGCTAGAGCTCGAGGCCTCAAACAATTACATTAAAAGGCGGAAAGGGAAAGGCGACGCAGAGGAGAGGCCCCCAAATGCCTTTCTTTGGTCCTTTCCACGGAACATAAGTAGAAGGATTCCCAGAGCTTGAGACCCATGTGAGGAAGAAAGGAGTCGTTTTTATTCTGTGAGCATTTGAGGCCATGTGGACATGAAACATGGTTACAGTTTAAGTTAACCTGAAGCTGGGAGATCCCAGAGCTAAGTGTCCAACAGTGACGTTAATATTTTGGACATTCAGCATGGGCATTTTGGTGGCATTACTCTTCCCTTCCAGTGTCAAAACGTCTTGTGTGGTGTGAAGAAGACCGTCTGTTCATCAGTGAATAGTCCAATATGCAGCATTGAAGTAAAAACATAATTATAGCTGCAAAATCTCAGATGGGTCAAGATACATCATCCATAAGGGCTCTAATCCGTAGGGAATCACTGAGCTTGGGAAAGGACAAAATATTTCCAAACTGTCACTGGCTTTGAGCAATGTGTTTGTACCCTGGTCTCTGTGAACTAAAGATAATACTCGCTCATGAGATCATTGCTGTTATCTGGGCTTTGCTCATCAAAAAGCAGGAATGTTTCCACAGGTGGGAGGAAATGTATTGGCCGAGGATCTGTTTGATGACACCACGCATGAGTCTGTGTAGAAAGACAGAGGGTGTGTCGGTGGATCTGTGGACCCTCTTTTTAGCTTCTCACTGCTGTTATGTGTATGTGAATCAGGAGGATTCTTCTGTAGCAATAGGAGCTGTTAGGCCACTTTTCTTTATTCACATCTTATCTTCATCTAATAGGTTCCCTAATTGTACTCATGAGCCTCTTCCATTACAAACTTCATTCATTTGTGGATTTTAGATAGGGCTAGGTTCTGAGGATCAGCAATGAATAAAATCTAGCTGCTACTATATCTAGCTAAAGTCAAGTGAGCATAACAGACAAGTAAATCATGTGATGAGCTACATGAGAGAGGCCCACAACTAAACACACCGGAACAGAAAACAGGGGCATGTAGATCAGAGCCAGTGAGAACCCCATACATTTACACTCCACTCTGGCCTTTTATCTACTGAGTCACAAGGAGGAGTTAGTTAATGGGCATGGGTCAGAAATCTGACTCCAGGGAGAAAGACAGAGAACTACAACCCCGGAGGGCAAGTGAGCCTTCCTTGGTAGAAGATGCCAGTCCATGGATACATGAAAATGCCCCCTTGGGATCCCTTAGCCCCAGGCTTTGACATTAGGGAAGTGGTGTGGATACAATCTTCTCTGGCTCAGTAGTCTTACCCATTGTTTTAATCACGCCTTATCTACAGCATATTCACAAACAATAAATTGAATTCCTGTTTATAAAGTATGTGTGGGTGTCCCAAGACCCTTGTTTCTCTTTATAGAGGCGTATGAAAGATGGTTTTGTACAGTGCAGGGAACAGTGACTGAGAAGCTTAGCAAATATAGCTTGGTCCCAACCTTTGGCTTTGTGATGTCATCAATGCTGAGTTGCATATCTATCCCTGGGGGGAATCATCCTGAGATGGTAACAGTTCAACATACAGAAGTTAAATAGTGTTCTGAGATGTGGAATCTTTGTGTCTGTGCTGAATCATGAGCTTCTGAGCTGAACCTAATTGTATTTATGTTGCATTGACGAGGAATTACTTCTTCTGTTCTGAGAGAGGAAGGAGAAGAAAAAAATATTAACATGCCTAAATTACAATGAAAGGAAGTGAGTGGGATGCTAGGCTCTGAGTTTTGTGGCCAGGCAGAGAAACTCATGTTTTGTCAGAAAGAGGAAATTAGACGTTGTGGCCCAAGATCCTTGGGGTACGTGGTGGGAGGATGGGGGTCTCAAGATTGGTCACAGTTAGTAGCCTGCCAGCGAGCCAAGCACACACACAAAATGCACAGCCTCCTAAGGGGGTAGATACAGGCTTTGGGGAAGCCTAAAATAATGCAATTTTAAGGCCCTCTTTAAGAAATATAATACAAAATGACAAGTACAAATTAGGGAATAGGGTCTTGGAAGGGGCCCGCGTAAGTGAGGGACAATGAAGCTAAAGTTTCCTTTTATTGTAAATCCACTTCTAGGCCTGCTCCTGTTAAGATTCTGCCACTCCCAACCCCCTTCCCTGGAAAAGGCAAATTTCAGTCCATTAAGACACAAGGGGGTGCGGTTTATGAGCAGAGGCAATAAAAACCAAAGACATAAGACTGTGCCAAATGGTGACTCAAGTGGGATATGAGAAGTATCTGCAAGTATTCGAAGGGTGTCAGCAGAGGGGGGGGGCGGGGATTATTCACTATTCTGAGATGGACGGAATGAGGTGCAATTAAGTAAATAAGAATGTGAACAGAATTCATCAGGAAACATCCCTAACTGTATTTTCTGATACTGTGGTGGTGCATTTCCCACGGGAAGTACTTAAGGATCCACTGAATCACTGAAAACTGAAATTGGCCACAAAAATGTGCTACAGGAAACAATCCTGGGTGCATTCTGAGCCCTGAATTCCACAGGACTGACACATGTTCTATAGAACAGCGTGTGTAGAGGAGGCCAATGGAGGAAACAGAGAGCAATCCAGCAGGGAGGAGCCGCCACCTCCACCCACATTTGCTGACTGGTGGGGGACACGTGGCCAAAGAAAAAAAGTCTGAGGAGATGGTGCCACCCAGCGTTGTGATGAATACTGTAGCCAGGAAACCAGCAGCCATTTCCACCATGAACTGTAACCATAGAATTCCTGCTCCCTTGTCCCAGTGGACGGAGTTCTGTTACAGTGAATAAAGGGTCATTTGGGTGATAGGGGAATCGTGCGTGGGCACAAGCACATGTGCGTCAAATATGCTGTCAACATCAGTCTGAGAAAGATGGAGAATATATTGGGTGACGGAAGTGAGATCCAGAGAGGCTCGTTTGGCTAAAATACAGACTAAGTCAAACACTCCGAGGAGAACCTGCTTTTGATTTCCTAAACTAACTGCACCAATAAAGGGAAAAACTTTGACTTGGTTGGTGGTGAATCTGGAAGAGGTGGGGGAAGGGCATGGCAGGGAATAGAGGGTTTTGTTAAATGTAAGCCCAAAATGAGTCAAACAGGTGTTATTTTGTGTACATTAATTCCCCGGTTATTTTTCAGTCTATTCGGCTCTTTACTGGTTGTTAGGTCAGAGTGGCAACTTCCAAGTTCCTTACATGTGGGACCAGGCACAAGAAGTTCATCCTGGATATATACTAAGAGTGTCCTAAAATTACAGACTCCTGAGTCTCACCCCAGAACTACTGTGGGATCTCTCAGGATAAGGCCCAGAAATCTGCATCTTTTCCAAAGTTTCAAAGATAGTTCTGATGCTTAGTCAGTATAGAGAACAACTGCTCTCGAATAAAGGAGAGGACTTTGAGGCCTTTACAATCAAGACAAATGATTATAATGGAATATAGGAAGTGTTATGAGAGGAGTACAGTGTGACAAGGACAGAAAGGAGGGAACTGCTGTTAGGGAGGAAAGAACCATTTTTGAAGAATGAGTGTCTTTTACACTAATCTTGATGAGAGGGTGGATCACCAGGTAGAAAAATATTAAGATATTCCTGATAGAAGAGCATCTGCAAAGGCATGGAGGATGAGTGTCCATGGGGTGTTGAGAAAGTCACCAGCAGTTGCAGAATGTCTCCCACCCTTGTCATCCCAATTGATTAGCACGATTTTTAAGGACTGAAGGAACAACTTATACTTCTAGGTGACCGGCAGCAAGAATATAGGCAATCAACCCCTTACTCATTTGTCAGGTATTTTTTTCAAGTCTTAGAAACTCTTTTTTAAAAGATAAAAATTGTCATTCCTTCGCCTGAAGATCAGGAGAGAAATGGGCCATGGCATTGCTGATCCTGGCATTTATTTCTCTCCTATCCTAATCCATCTGCATCCTCATCCCCATCCCCACCCAACACTCCCTGTCTCAACATTCCACGTGACAGCTGATGTTAATAATCCTCAGCAATGATGCCAACTGCAAGGTGGAGACCACCCAAGACCCAAGGAAGCTATTTCATATCCATGGGCTCCATGAAGCCCTGACATTGCAGATAATAGAGCTTATTAAAGGGATGGAAAACCCTACACAAGGGAATGAGAACCTTTGTATTAATGGTGACCCTGTAATATTTGTGTGTTTGCCACAAAAGAAAGCCCAATCCATTCACACCAGTTACCGAGGGAATGGTAGTGAGATGGAAGCTAAATCATCATTTACTTTTTAAAGAAACTTTCCTCTGTGAATGCAGTCCTTGCGTTTCTGTGATTAATCCCAGATCCCCACTGGCAAGCTCGCTCATGTAATCTCCCAGAACAGCTGGGCCATGGCTGTATTGTCGATTATTAAATGTCCAAGTTCCCTGCAAGGCAGCATTTAATCATTAGGCACTAAAAATAAATAAATAACAGAGAGAGAGAGCAAAGGGGAGGGATAGTAGGGGGTGGGGGGAGAGGGTGGGAAGGCTAGTTTTCGATGTTTCAACATTAAACCAAAGAGATTTGGAGCCCAGACAGCATCCTGCAGTCCTTCCAGACAAGCTGCAAGACTGACCATGGCCAAGGTAACCAGCGTCCCCTCCTTATTGCTTAGAACATACATTGCATAGTTACTTCATACCTGATTCTTTTAAGAGGTATGCCTGTTCATCAATTTGTTATCTATGTTAAGCCTATGTTAATTATGAGTTTTTCTGTTAACCTATGTTGATGGAAGAATTAGTGACATTTTGGCACCTGTGCATTTCCTAATGCTCTGAATCTATGTCAGGAAAGCCACTTTTTGTGCCTTTTTCTAGACAGTAGAGTCACCTTGGCATGGGGTTTGTCAGCAATTGCAAAGCTATAACTTTCCTTATGGCTGCTACGTCTTCATGATCACCTTAAGGAAACCACTGCAAAATTAGATTTGTCCTTTCAATTCAAGAGGTATGTGGATCCTGGAGAAAAAAAAAAAGGCATGATTTGGAAGAGAAATATGTAATGAGGGGTATGGAAGTATAGGTGTCGAAGATAATTCTTGAAAAGGCTCTTGAATGAATTCCCATTCAACTCTCAAAATAATTCTTGAAGAGGCTCCTTATGTCCGTCCTTGGTGGACACTATTTCTGGAAGCAGCCTCTTTGGGCTTTATTCCAAGCTCTTTGCATCTTTTGTTTCTCAAACCACTTATTCTTTAAATTAGTTGTCACCTTGGTGCTGCCAACTAGTTGTACATGGTGTGGAGTTCATTTTCTTATTTCTGAATAACCTGCAGAACTTATAAACGTGTAACTTGAAATGGATTGAGGCTACAGTTAAAATCTGATGTGATGTGATGATAGTAAATGTCCAAGCCGTAGAAGATGGAAAACAAAGTTGTCAAAAATGCAGAATTGCCTAAATCTTAGTTCAATCTTTAGACAAAATGATTAATGAAGATGTGTTACCTGGAGGTTTATTTCCTATTCAGGCAATGGATATGAAGATAATTGGAAAGGATAGTTCATGTAACAGAATGATAGCTAAACCCATAGGATTTCATAACAAAAACAAGATAAAAACATTCTTTTTTTTTTTTGGATGGGTCAACATATGACTCCCATATCCGGCAAGGTGAGGTTGTTCTTCCTTCCAGGTGCTGTGGCTTCTCGGTCCTTACCAAGCTCACCCAGGGTCTTCTTGCATAATCTGACTATTCTTGGTGGATTTGGTTTGTTTTAAGTGCTTAAAAAAGGAAGACCAAATCAGCAGACTGCTTTCCAGAAACTGTTTTACCATGTTTTGTATATTAGTTTTTATATACATATAAACCTTGTATATTTCTTATTGCCATAAAATAATCCACACTTTGTCTGCAGCCTGTGCTGTTTCGGTCCCTGGAAATTTTAAAGCATAAACTGTTATATTTCTGAGATAAAGTTCTCTGTTAAATGTAGAAAATGTTGAGCTGGAGATGATGAGAGAGGCTGATTAATGGGCCTATCCCATTTAGCTACAGTTTTATTTACGTCTCTTAAGCTAAGCAGATTTGGGGCTGATTAATTCTGCTATGAGAGATCCCCTGGAAAGCTCAGGATGGTTTACTTTAAGAAGCATCTGTCAGCAACTAAGTGTGGGCTTCCTTTCCACTCAGTGTGTACTAACACAACAGTATAAACCCCTCCATAACACAGAGTGCAAAACCTGTCACGTTTATTTTTCTAAATCGAATTAGATCAGGCTCCAAGCCACCACTCCCCAAAGTTGAAACATCTAATATGGGTCATTTTTCAACTAGCCCTTCTCTTCTCAGACCAAAAATAATGACGTCAGGAGCTCCAGCCAGAGCCACACGGGCCACAGATCTTTCTGCTGCCACACTGGGTCCCCACTGTGAGTCACTCACTGCCCCTCCAGGTTCCCCTCCATCGCCAAGGTCACCTTTCATGGCTCCATGCCATGACGCTTGGTGTTCAGCCTCATGGGCACCACGCAGCCATGTCCCATTTGACGCACGCACCTCTGTGGCAGTGGATGAAAGTTGGACCCCAATAAGCAGCTCTGTCAGAACCCACAGCTCCCTCTGCTCTCCAGGGCCTTCAAGAGTCCCACATGGCGGTGGGTCCACTGTTTCCTTTCATCATCAAGGCCCCAAAGCCCCTCTCTGCACCCACCCCGGTGCTCCAGTCTCCCATTGGCTGATGGGACATTTCCCCATTTACTCCTCCCAGAGGAATCTATAATGCAGGGAAGAGGACACCAAACACTCAGTTACCAAAATGAACACCTCAGCAAGTCAGTGCTTCTATCTCTCAGCGTAGACAAAACCAAAAATGACTCCCAGCAAGAGCATTTAGAGTGCTCCCAATTCTTTTTCTCAACCTGATATACATACTCGCCTCAGTGGCTTTAATCACATTCTGACTGTGGTTAGTATCTGATGCTGACCAAGGTCATCCTCAGTGCTCATTATTGTACAATAAGGTCCAGCGGAAGTAAACACCATCACCATGGTGCCTACCCCAAGTCGCTCCTGGAGCTGAGCTTCCGCCCGGCCCCGTGGAGGAAACTCCCAGGGGCTGGCTGTGCCCAGCAGGTCGGAGGGAAAGTGGCCTGAGCTGAGGGAGCCGCAGGGAAGAGTGTCCAGATGTCCAAGGAGGCTCTGAATTCAGGCTCTCCCCTTCTTTGTCTGTTACAGATGGAGCTCCCGAAGGGCTTCTTTGGCCAACGGACATTCCTATCTGCCCTCCTCAACCTGCTATCACTCAGCCTCTCCACAGCATCCCTGCTTAGCAACAACTGGTTTGTGGGCACACAGAAGGTGCCCAAGCCCCTGTGCGGAAAAGGTCTGGCAGCCAAGTGCTTTGATGTGCCAGTGCCCCTGGATGGGGGCAGCAGCAACGCATCATCCCAGGAGGTGGTGCAGTACAGCTGGGAGACTGGGGATGAGCGCTTCTCCTTCCATACCTTCCGGAGTGGCATGTGGCTATCCTGTGAGGAAACTGTGGAAGAACCAGGTAGCCTCCTCACCCCCAGCTGCCTAACTTTCCCCATGGGATCTCATGCAGACAAAGAACCAGTGGGAAGTATACAGCACTCCTCCACCCCCAACGGCCTCACCCCCAAGCTGAGCATCTCCCGCCTCTGTACTGTGTCCCTTCTCCTTAGGAACCCCATCTGGCATTTCACTTCCTGCCTGTCTGGTAGACTTGCTGGTTTAAAATAGCATTACCCTTAAAGGGTTCCACTTAGACTTTCAACATTATAAGAATTTCCATTCTAGCAAACTAGAATTGCTGTTTAGAAACAAAACAAGGAGAGAGGACTATTGCAGAAACAGCCCTGCTCTGCCCAGCTGGGACCTATCTGAACAACACCATTTCTACAGGCTTCGATCTTCTCACAAGTGAGATGGATCCAACTAGATCACCTTAAAGCCCCTTCCTTCCTCTCCTCCTCATAAAGGGTTTCTTATTCTAAGTATTTCTGTTATCACTCTTAAAGTAGGGGAACTGAGGCTCAGAGAGGGGACTAGACCCTGTAGGGACGCCCCCACCCCAGGGCTCCTGTATCAGCATGCTCCAGTCGCCCCTGGTCCTCAGGTTAGGAGCAGTTGGACTGAGGTCACCCCTTCCTGCTCAATTCAAAAGTCACCTGATGGTGAAGTTTTTCTAAATCCCCAAATCAAATCTGCCATCTGCTACTTCTCCTGGTTTGGTTTATGGGGGAAAGGGTTCAGAAGAGGAATATAAACGTGTGTGTATTTGCATTTATATTTACATTTACGTTTATTATTGTCCACTTGACACAGCTCCAGCCCCAGTCCCCAAACAGGTTAGAGTCCTTCTGACCAGTGGCACAGTGGCAGCAAATGGCATTGGCTACACTAGGGTCGTTAACTCTTCCTGACACAGGAACGGGGACATTTCCCTCTCAGGGAAACCTTGTCATCTTCATTATCAGGCACTGAGGAGAGAGGAGTTAATTTCAGGTGACTTATCTATGCTCTTCATTCATCCACCCACCCATTCTTACCTGCTTTCAGAGAGACATTCGCTGCCCGCCCACTACATGCTGAGCAGGCAGTGTTGAACAAATGGGGTGGTGCCGGGCATGGGACTGGGGACAGACTTCCTCCCAGCTGCCCGGGCCACCCCTCCAAGAAGCGGACCCTTGTCTGTTCTAGGGGAGAAATGCCGAAGTTTCGCTCAACTCACACCACCAGCCGAGAGAGGTGAGAAAGGACTACTGGAATCTGCCGCGTTGCAACGCCCACGTCACCCCGCTCTCTGATTTGGAGGGAAGCGGTTAATGGAGAAGGCTTCCCTCCCCCACCCTCCCTTGGGGCTTGTGGCAAGTATGTGGGTTCGGGGGCCTCTCTGGATCTAAATCGTACTGTGATCTCCAGCTTTTCTCTTCTTCTGAGCCCCACAGGGTGACCCAAATTCCTTCCAGAGCTGACTTTCATTCGTAGGCAGCAAGGCAAAACGAGGAACAGCAGGGACAAATAACGTCCACAAACAACGCACCACACTCTACCCTCCTCGTTGCCAAGTAACCATGTTGAAAAGCTTAGGTTTTTTCCTTTTTTCCTCCAATAATTTTTATGTAAAATAGAAGGGAGGGAGGAAACAAAACTGAGTGTCCAAAATTAAGAAAAAAGAGAAACGAAAATCATCTAGCAAAGCCATATCCCTGCAAGATTTGAGTGCCTTCTCCTCAAATCTCTCCAACAATTTTTACAGTCAATCAAGTTTACTTGATTATATTTGGGTACCAAGCAAAGTGAGAGTTGTGGGGTGATAGCAAAGAACCCCAAATTAAAGAGTGTTCCGGCAGGTTTCGGGTTTGTCTCACCCTCCCATTCTCTGGCTGCAAGGCCTTTCTCTCTAATAGGCCTCACCTAATTTCTCATCTAATCATCCACCGTTCAGTTACTTAACTGGCAAGGTGAGGGTGCTTCTCCCCCTGGTTTCTGACAGAGATCCTATGGTTATCACTGGGAGCCCAGTTTGCCTACATTGGACTTGAACTCATCAGTTTCCTCCTGCTACTAACGGACTTGCTGTTCGCCCGGAACCCTGGCTGCGGGCTCAAGCTGAGCGCCTTCGCCGCTATTTCCTCGGTCCTGTCAGGTAAGCACCCCCAAAGTGGGAGACGGTGGCTGTCCCCTGCCGCCTCTGAAGCACTAGCTGGAGGGTGCAGTCTGTCCTGAGGGGAGGAAGGAGGAACCCAAAGGCAGCATAAAGAATGGAGGCATGAGAGACATTACAGGCATCTTTCATTTTAAACTGAGATGATGTAAAATGTTATATTAGATTGGTATGTACTTTGTGAAACGGTTTACCTCTAGGTTTTTTTTTCTTTGCAGATTTCTCAATATGTACATTAGTTGGGTTTGCTTTTCAGTTGTCACATAGACACACACAGCTTTTCGAGACTGTTGGGTGAATAAGAGATGCATATGTAAGATCAAGAATCAAGCTCACACTGGGGTTGAGGGGAGAAGCGAAAGGAGCAGCGGCCAAGGGCAGCATTGATTTCCAGGGCTCCCCACCTGGGGCCGGGCAGCCTGTTGCAGAAGACCCCCGACACAGTCGTCTTCCTGAGATGTGGCTGCACCCAATTCAAAATGAGGAGGTTGCTCTGAAGGCACATTCCCTGTAGATGGCAATGTCAGCCTTCCTCCAAAGGTGTTGCCTTCCTGTCCCCTCTGTAGGCCTTCTGGGGATGGTGGCCCATATGATGTACTCACAGGTCTTCCAGGCAACTGCCAACTTGGGTCCAGAAGACTGGAGGCCACATGCTTGGAATTATGGCTGGGCCTTCCAGTAAGTACTCACCATCATCTGAACCTTTGGCCCCTCCCCCGCCAACCTTCCTTACATTGGCTTCCCTCAAGTAGACACTTGTTTCCTGTTCTTCTGCCTTCTCTTCATCCCTCATCCCAGACGCCTATCAGCCAAAGGGCTGGACCATCAGGCCACAATCATTCTTTCCGCCTTCGGAACAGATACAGAGAGGCCCTCCAGCTTGTTTTGTGAGGCTGTTGTCTTGTGCAGTGTTTCTGCTGCTACAACTGTAGCAATTGCTTCTTCACCTGATAAGTATGTTGCCCTTAGAAACTGTGACTGATGTTGTATGGCTTATGGAAGTGATGCTCTATAGTTTATATAGTTTATTATTCGAGATACTAGAGGACAAAGGAATGGGGAATGACCTTGAAATTTGGATTGACTTCTATTCCCTGTGAATGGCTTACTCTTCTCCTGCAAGGAAGGGTAACTTCTTCCTACCTCCATTTTTATTCCACTAAACTGTGTTAGAAATAAAACTTCCCTGACAGTCATTCTCTAGCCCTTAAAAAGTAAGGAGTCAGTGACTTTAGATTCTCTTTAAAAAAGAGAAGCAGCAACTGTGACAAAACAAATACAGTCAAGGTAAACATGTCCTTTGTTTAAGACTTTCCCACTTCTGCCCTTGAAGAACACGCTCTATTCAGCGCACAGGAGCAACCTGGACTTACACGAACCATCTGGATGAGTGCTTAGTACTTGAACAGTGCTGAAGACACAGCGCCGGCTCAGGTTTCCACGCTCAAGTAGGCACGTGGAACGCTCCACAAGTTTGTTAGAAGATCCTGTCCCTTTCCTCACAGTGTAATACATGCTATTTGATTCAGGCTGGCCTTTGGTCTACTCCTCCAGCCACCATGTCAGTTTAGCTCATTTCCCAGATTCATTGTTTCTCACCTTGGCCTGTCTTCAAGCCATTGCTGGCATTACTATAGAGCTCAGACTGCAGAACTCCCACCAGAAGCCTCCCCCGCCTGAGTCTACTTTGTCTGTCGGCGCTGCAGACAGGAACGTGTAGTCTCAGCATGTGGCCTGGCTGTAACTGTCACTCGGCCTCATGAAATCCCGTGCTAACCTCACACAACTTCCTCCTTCCTGGGCTACCCAGAATCACGGGGAGATTCAGGGGTTTCACTTTTTAGGACTATGTTTGATAAAGTTCCCTTGATGTCTTTTCTTCTTTGTTGACTCCATCCAGCTTCTCTTAATCTCTAGCTTCTCTTCCATCCGTTATAAACTCCCTTAAGCCAAGAACCACACTCTTTCTGTAAAGGGCAGATTCCACTAGAACAGCCTGTGATACCTCCGATCTGCAGCCAGTGCTTCCTGAACGGCTCTCGGAGACTCAACTTTGTGGGCCCCCGAAACTGCTGAGCTCAGAACAAGGGACGATGGAGGAGGGATGGTCACTCCGGCATCTGAGTGAAGGAAAATCTTTGGCAGGGTGTTCGTGGGATGTGGGGTGGGGGGGAGGGGCGAGTATGACATTGGACTGTGTCTACTGTATGCAGCCAAGCTACAGGTCTGTGGAATCTTGGAGATTACACGGGGGTAACTGTAGCTTGAGAAACAGTAGTCCAGAAAGTTATGTGTATGTTTACATATCCAAAAAATAAGCACACCAAAAGAGCACAGCACTAACAAGTAATCAATTCAGTGAACACAAATCCGCTAAACTCCTAGTCTGACGTTAATACTACATGAGTCCTTTTCTTTTACTATAAAACATCCAGAATGTACCCTACTAAAACAGACCAAATTACGTCCTCATGCCCACAGTTCTTTCCTGGCAACAGCACAGTCAGGCCCCTAAATCCCTAAGAGGCATCAGCCTAGTTTACTAGTAGGAAGGGATCGCGGCATTTTTCCTTCAAACCCAGGAGAAGGATTCTGACTCATTTTTTGTATGTTTGTCCCTAGCACAGCCTGGGTTTCCTTCACCTGCTCCATGGCATCAGCCGTCACCACCTTCAACACATACACCAAGCTGCTGCTGGAGTTCAGGTGCAGGCATAGGAAGAGCTTCAAAGGAAACCTGAGCTGCCTCCCACATCACCACCAGGGTTTACTCCAACAGCTGTCAGGTGCAGCCCACCCTGGGGGTTCTTTGACCAGCTACCACCAGCACCAGAATCAGCCCATCCGTTCTGTCTCTGAAGGAGTTGACTTCTGTGCAGAGCTATACAACAAGGGACTCCAGCAAGGCACCAGCCACGAGCTAACAGAAGACCCGGCTGGGTCATCTGTAGAAGAGCTGTGTTAGGAGTGAGTGGATTTGGAGAGCAGATTGAGCCCAACCTTACATGTTTGTTATCAACATGTACTTAAGCCAGTCTGTGTCTTGAGCGTGGTTTTTAGAGGTTAAGAACAAAGGTATGTTCAAGTACAAGTACAATGTGCATGTGCCGGGGAAAGGGGAGGCTGGATGCCACTGCTCCCTTTCCCTTCACAACTGTCCCCTTTCACCACCCCCATCTCTCACATGTTCAGAAGTCCCTTCTCTCCTTTACTGACTTCTTGGATGTGCTGGGTTCTGGGCTAAGCAATGGAGTCAAAAAGAGGAGTAAAATGCAGTTCCTGCCCTTTAGGAGCTTATCAATCTGGTCACCTGCCTGGGATTTGGAGAAGTGGAGGTAAGCAAAGCAGCTAGCGATGACTGTGGCTGTTTTCCACGGTGCACTTGAATTTCCTGGCAGTCACAGAAGGGAAGACGAAGGCACTCCTAGGAACTTTGATATGTACGACAGATGTCCCTCACACTGCCCATCACATGTTCTGTATCCACACAGTGCATGGGGCTTTAATTAAGTATTATCCTAGAAGCCATTTGGAGATGAGTACGGATGAGAAGTCTCCTACCACATGCAGGGACAGGCTCACTGCCAGAAATGGCCCACTGAGGCTATTCAGATAGGACTATGGTTCCCCCGTGGAGAACCACACAGGAGACTTTCCCAGTGAACACTACATCCTCCCTGGATCCCCACCTTCTCATCTATCCACAATGAACGAATGACAAGCCACCCGTGATGGCTAAGAAGAATGAGAATGGCACACAAGTATGTTCCCATCCATGGTGTTTATTTGTTCTGTAACAGTTCACATTTTAAATAGTGCTTCCTGACAATATACCAGCTGGCTCTTCTTTAACATGGACAATAAGGGTAGCAATTCACATTCAAGGGGCGGGTATCCTCATACCACACTAGCAGGGACAGCAGAGACCACCTGGGGGATGGAGAGGATTTGTAAGGGAAGAAAAAAGAAGAGACTGGAAGAAGAAAGACCTCTGCATTTGCAGAAGTCATTACTATTTCCAGGTAGTTGTCATATTGGCTTTGCTGGCAACCTCGTGATGGGAATGAAGAAAGAAATCTGGGTGGGTGGTTGCCTGAGAGGAAAAGGAAGTGCAGAGACACTGAACAAGAAACCAGCACCCACACTGGTCAGATGGAGCCTCCATGGTCTTTGCCTCCATTTACGCTTCTGCACTGGCTGTGAGAGGGAGAAGAAACCTAGCACTCGTACCCTGTTCAGCAAGAGATTCAAACTTATCACAGCCTGACCAATCTATGTTGTTAGTTTGCAAAACCACCACGAAGAATTTAGGAACACTGTTTTTCTAGCTTCTTTTTGTTGTTGTTGTTAATCCTTACCCACGGATATTTTTCCAGCTTTTTAGATAGAGTGGAGGGGGCGGGGGGGGGCTCGATGTGAGAAGAGAGACACACCGATTGGTTGCCTCCCACATGACCCTAACCAGGGCCAGGGACCGAACCTGCAATCCAGGTACGTGCCCTTGACCGGGAATCAAACCTGCGACCCATCGGTCTGCAGTGGATACTCTGAGCCAAACCAGCCAGGACTCTAGCTTCCTCTTAAGTGTTTCTGGGACTCGCCCAGCACAAATACAATCTTTTGCCCAAAACAATCCCCCAAACCAGGTCCTAGAAAACAACTTCGCATTGTTCTCCTGCCTAAAGGGGCTGCCTTCTCAGAAGCCTCGACATGGGAGAGAACCAGGGTCAGGGATTGGAGGCTCAGCCCAGGCCGCAGGACCACCACCCAGGTTTTAGGTATTCAGTCAACTACAAATTAGTCTTAGAATTCTCTACAGACCAAACTAGACCCTAGACTCTTCTACCCAGTAGATTCAAACCCTAGAAGTACATCTGGAACCATCCCCATACTCTTGGGGACCCTGTAAATAGTCCCCCAAGTTTACAATAAGCTTGACCTACACATGCCTTCCACAGTGTTGAACCCACGTTTGCTGTCACAGGCCCACGGCAGCGAGGTGCCCAGAAGCCTGGCAAGGCCGCCGCAGGCCAGGCTGCACCGAGGAGAGCTGTGCCGCCAGCCTGCCATGTCACAGTGCCCAACTGTGGGCAAGTAATATCCACCCCTGAATTTAGGATCCCTCGTTTTCTGTAATGCCTAAATTGTCTGGAATTCATTACCACAAGCTAAAGAGAGAGAGGCTCAAATAAAGAGAGAACCTGAGCTGCACTCAGAGATGACCTATCAAATTATCCAAGCAAAGAGCAGTTCTCCTCCCGCTAACGCCGGCTCTTCTGCTGAATAAACAATGACCTAGAAGTTCAAAAGAATACTTAATAGATGTAATTTATTTACACAGAAGAAGAAAGAATCACTGGAGAAAATTCTAAAGAACTTAACCAGTTATAAAAGTTACAGTATTTACATAGGAATTTTTCTCAAAATACAGTGCGTCAGAGGCTCTACAAGAAAGGAGACACGCAGGGCAAAAGGCTGCATACCGGACTCGAGCAAGACGAAAAGTCCAGAAACAGCTTTGCTCTCATGCAAGCAAAGCAAAAATATCCCTGAATAAAGAAGAGCAAAAGAGAAGCAGTAAGGAGCACGCCCAGGAGAAGATGCTAGGAGAGCAGAGAAGAGGAGAATCTGCCTGTGGTCCCTGATTTCAGTTTTCCTCGACGTGGAGGACAGCATAACACAAGCATTTCCGGAGTTACCGCAGTGAGAGATTGTGACCGGCAGAACAATCAAAACCATATGGTAGGAATGTGGTTAGCCCACTGATAGCAATACAGTTATTCTATGGTCACCTGGGGAGTGAGAGGAGGCAGGATACACAAGACAAGGAAGCGGATGCTGGGATGGCTACCCCTGGCTGCTGCTATCAGTCTTTCTCGCTGCGGCTTAGGGTGGGAAGAAGCCGAGGAACAGGTGGGGAGAGGAGGACAGTAATGATGAGTGGCCCTAAAAATCAGAGGACAGAAATGACGAGTGGCCCTAAAAATCAGAGGACAGAAATGACGAGTGGCCCTAAAAATCAGAGGACAGAAATGACGAGTGGCCCTAAAAATCAGAGGACAGAAATGACGAGTGGCCCTAAAAATCAGAGGTAGGCCTTCTGGAAACCTCAAGGTGACCACACAAACCAGATGTATTTCAGAAGAACAAGAAACTGTGTCCCTGGTGCTTGGGACATATCTAGAAAACATTTCATCACAGCGCTGAAAAATACACACACACAGTATGATGCAAAACAAAAATGTTCTAGTGAGGAACTTCACTGGGATTTCCCAGCAAGAGTTTATAAATTAGACATACAAAAAATAAAACACTTATTAGATTCACATTTCCAAATTATCCACACAGGGTGCTTAGAGGAGGGGTTACTGCACAGATTGAAAAAGCAGGTAAAATACCCCAACTACACAGCTCGGCCGTTGCCAGAGGACCAGCATGCCTTCCAGAGTTGGCTCTGCAACAACCACGCAGGGGCTGACGAGGCTGGAGATGCCTTCCTTCTCTCCAAAGAACCGATTTTATACTCGCAGGAGAGAGACAGTATCCATTCTGTTCACTTCTTAAATTAAAGGTTCCGTCAGACTAGATCTAGGGAAAAGGTGCAGATATCAGGGACTGAAATTTTCTTCATGGTAGAGAAGTAGAAGAAATCTAAAGGCCAGATTATTCCTCATATTCCTGTCCTTTTGTGTAGCCCCTACAGCTGGCCCTCCAGAAAGGCCCAAAGACTTATCTTTTTCCATGATAAGTTCTTGAATATTGAATTGGACCACAGGACTTGGGGGGCAGGGAGCTTTAGCATGTTGAGCAAAGTAATTCTTTGTTCTATGTAACGGCCACAAGCCCAGCCTGTTAGCATCTCTAGCCCCTACCCAGAAAAATACCAGTAGTATCCAGCCCCCTCCAGTCACTGGGACAATAAAAATCATGACCCCACCAATGTGCCCTGAGGAAGATGGTACCATTTCCAGCTGAAAACAACTGAGTACCATTTCTCAATAGTGATGAAGCACCCTTAGAAAATAACACAGGTCAGAAACAACTGGTTCTTGATACACAACTACTCAGGAAGGCTCCCATTCTCTCTTTTCTAAAGAGCAATGTTGGAGTTGGTAGAATTTGTCCTAAACCCTCAACAGTAACCAAATATTTGTGTCAGAAGCTATTCACCTGCAAGGGAGAATCAACAAACTTTATCCTAGAGAGGAATCGTCGCAGCTCCCCACGGCCAATTTTGGGGGTGGTCTCCTTTAGCTGGACCATCTGGCCTTCCATCAGTGCCCACCGCAGACTCAGCTTGCTGACCACCAGGGGTGCTGGATGGCCTCTGGAGCTTGGCCCCGTTGTCCTGGTAACATAAAAGGCGTCTTTCCAGAGGTCGTTAATTCCAACTGAGGAAGGACAAAAACCAGCCGTTAACAAGGACAGACTTCCACTGACAGTAAAGTGGTTTAGTTCAGCAACTAGATTTATTCATTCATTTACTCCTTCACTAATTCATACAAGAAGTGTAGTGAGCACCTAACAGATGCAAGGCCCTGAGCTAAACAGGGGGTGCACAGTGTGAAGGGCTGGATGCCAGCAAAGCAGCTCATTCTTCTGGGTCTTTGTACCAGTTTTCCTCTGAAGCTGCTTCTAAGAAGTCCCCAAATCAGGAAACTAGAGGCTATGCCAACTGTGGTGCCAATTCGATAGAAAAGTGACAAACTGAAATTCTGAGAAATCCTGGATTATTAGTGCATTATTACCTAGCCAGTGCTTATTTCACCTCATCTTTAAAATAGGTGTTATAATAAAAATGGTCTTGATCCTTAATTACCATTATTAAATGTGCACTGAATGACGGTGTTCTACGCTAATATTAAAAAACAGCTCCCTCAGACCCATCACAGGATTCTGAAGCTGACACCTGCCCACTCGGCCCCTCTCGACACAGTGCCTGCGGACAGTGCGCTGCCAGGCCCAGCGGGGCCCAACACAGAGCATTCGCTTCAATTGTAAGGAAAATAAGTTTGTAAGGAGAGAGCGAGTTTTGGGCCCGAGAACAGGGAAAGAGGGAAAGAAGCGTGGCCAGTCTGGTCTTCCCCACCCTCCCCCACAGCAACAGCGGACGCCCCCAGGCCAGCCTGAGGCGAGGAAGCTCCGAAGCGGAGACCACCAGAGGCCCCCAGACTAGCAGGCATCAGTGGCAGAGTTTCCAGGGTTTCCTAAGATATGATCCCAATTTTGCTATATGATATTATTTAGATATGTATATAAAGTTGAGGAATACTCCCAAAACGTTCACAGTCATAATGAGTGGTCTTTTTCCCTTTGATTTTTCTCCTGGCTGACATTTCAAGACAATGGGCACATTCCCTTTTACTAGTCAAAGGAAAGTCTCCACTGATCCCAAACCAATACCCTGAGAAAACCTCCATCATATCCCTCCAGTTAATTCTAAATACTGAGCTCCTAAAAGGTCAAGAAAGTACTGTTCTTTGTACTCACAGCCCTTGGTACAGCTGAGGCTCAGTAAAGGTCTCTGGGTGAGTAGATGAATCATTACCATTAGAACCCTCTGGGAGAGGACTGCACTTCCCCTCAGCCTGCAGCAGGTCCAGAGGGTAGGGCCCTCACCTGTGAGCCTGTGCTCTTCCCGAAGGGACAGCGGGGCACCAGTGGAAGGGGAGTGGCTCAGCACACCCTCTGCTGTCGTCTGAAAGCATACAGCCTCTCCTTGGTAGGACAGTGGAATTACCACACAGCCAGCACATCCTCCCCTGTCTGCGTACACAGACCCCACCGTCGCTGGGACTAACCCTCTGAGGCCGTCACTGTGCCTGTGGCATTGGCCAGATCCAGGAGAATCGAGGGGAACGCCGGGTGCAGGAGGTAAAGGTGATGAAGGCCGGGTGGCTCGGTTCCTAGGATGACATCCTGACAACGAGAAGCAAAAAGGAAAAGCAAAGTAATTCTGCATCCCCACACATGATGGTCCTGAGAGAGGGCAGAGGAGACCTCGGCAGTTACTTCTCTCAGATGCTAAGACCTGATCCCAACTACAAAGAGACAAACTCTCAATATACAAGGAACATATTTCAAAGAGCTCAGAACACTGACTAATCACTAACTTCTTCAAACCATTATAGTTAGAAAACACTTTCTCCCTTTTAAGGAAAAAAAAAAGGAAGAAAGGAAATGTCCACACCCCAGGACAGAAATCTGATGCAGGGACCTCGCAGTGTCCTGCCTACGGGAGCATCAGGATGAGGGGGGCTCATCCCTGCAACGGGCGGGGACTGTGGAGACAATATCTCTGCATGAAAACACAAAAGATATTTCCTCTCATTGGATATTCAAGCAATTGCAAAGGTCAGACTAAAAAATCACAAAAATCTTATCATTTACAGAAATGAACAGAAGGTTGACCAGCAGAAGCAAGTCATTAATTATAAAACAAAAGCTGCAAGGCCTGAGTGTCCGTCTCCAAGCTCCCTGCAGCAGGAGAAATGCACACTGGAACTTCCTTTAACATGTAACTTCTGTGCAAGGATGGCAGTCGGCAGGAGCACAAGGGTGCAGCCATGCAGTTGTCAAAGCACAGAAATATCGTACACGGGTCAGTAAGCGGCTGTTCTACTGAGCTCCCAAGAGCACCTCCCCTTCCCTGGGACCATCTTGGGCCTCCCCTCGAGGATGAAATGAAACCCTGAAAAATGACTGCCCCGCTGCTCTATATTGTCAGCACGGGAAGAAGTCCACTAGTGGGAAGCGTGGGCGGGAGGCCTGTGGGCACCACACACCCACCACATGCTCACAAAGCAGAAGAAGGCTTTCCACACACCCCCAGACCCCAGGCATGAGGGGACAGATCTCGGGCTTCGCTAACAAGACAAGAGAATAGCCAAACTCTTCCTCTCTGCCTAGCAGCGGTTCTCAGCCTATGGGTCACGACCCCTTTGGGGATCGAACGACCCTTTCACAGGGGTTGCCTAAGACATAACAGTAGCAAAATTAAAGTTATGAAGTAGCAATGAAAATAATTTTATGGTTGGGGGGGTCACCACAACATGAGGAACTGTATTAAAGGGTGGCAGCATTAGGAAGGTTGAAAACCACTGCCTACAGCATTGGCCCAAATTCCTTGACATGAGAACCAAGGTCTTACACCATTTAATCCAAATCTGCCTTTTCCAGCCATCTACACTTACTTACCTGTCTATCCCATGCTTCAAGAATGTCTGATGATTACCCAAACACATGCTCCACTTTGCTCTAAGCTTTGCCCACCTTCTTCCCTCCTTAGACTGTCTAACTATCCTATCCAGCTCGTTTCCTCACATTAGAAAACGTCTCGTCCTTAGGTCCCTGACTTGAATGCCACATCTTTCATGAAAAGCTCTCTAATCGCCCCAGACAAAATAAATATCTCCTTTCTTTTGTGCTTCCATAGAAAACTCTTATTTGTACTTCCTATTACAACATATGTAACATGCTCTTGTTTTGTGGTTATTTTTAGACGCTTACATTTGAGAGTCCTCTGGTCCAATAACCTCATTTTATTAGATGAGAAAGCCTGAAAGTTAAAATGCTAGATGAACTGCCCATGGTCACATGTTAGGGAATAGCAGAGTTAAGATTATCATCTAGATGTTAAGTGGATCTGATCCTCAATATGAGGGACTATATTAGCATCTTCATTCTCGGATAAAGGGTGGGACGCTCAGAGAAGTTAAGTGACGTGTCTGAAAGCACATTGTTGGTGAATTCAGGACTCTTCTTCCATCAGGCCCCCACCCCATCATCAGGGACCTCTGCCTTCTTTGGAGGGCAACATTGTTTCCAGTTTACCCCTGGGTCCCTACAGAGAACACGACACCTGGCACACAGTACCTACTGGTCAAGATGGTTGAATGAAGTCAAGGTGGGTCTCCCTAAAAACTCACAGGCACCTGTTGTAGTGCCCGACCCATCAACCCCATCAAATACCGCAGTGTGCTCTAAATTTTGAGTCTACCTATCAGACCCTCTCTCCCATAATCTACGGACGTGAACTGTCACCTTCAGCCCGGCAGTGCCCCTCTGCTGCTGCCAGTAGCCAAGGGGCTGTGGTCAGCTTCCACACTGCTTGGCTGCAAGGCAACAGCAGGAGTGAGGCTCGGGAGGAAGCAGGTCTTGCTCTGCCCCCTCGAGACTACTTTGTTCTCCCCGTAACCACTGGGAAGTGTGGCTGGTCTCACAGCACCTCCAGACCACCAGCCCTGGGCCCGGTGCCATCTGACACAGCAACAAAGGGACCCTCCCAGGCTCACTCACGGAATTGGGAGGTGTCGCTGACAACCCTTCAGCCCAAAAGAGGAAGACAGACTTCTGGTCTGAAGTGACTGCTGAGGTGGTCGGTGATCTTTCCATGTGACACGGAGCACTGTAACTCCAAACCACAGAGCCAGAGTTCCCGTCCACCACCATCATCTGTGAAGAGAAGACCGTGAGTAGAGCCCGTCCTCGGGGCAGCGGCCAAGCGCGCATGCTCACGCTCACACACACAGATACTCACGTAACACCTGTCAACAGGTTGAACTTATTAGAGGTGAACAAATTGGGTATTCAGAGAGCATTAAATACAGCCTAGAACCAGGACTCAGTTTCCTGCAGTCCTTATTCCCATTCTGTAGAGTTTAAAGGACCACATGATTCAGGTGGGAAGGGGACATGATAAATCCAAAAATCAGCTGGTCCACCTCTCATTTCACAGATGAGAAAACAAAGGCTCGGACACAGGAAGTGACTTAGATTGTCCCGTGTTTCTGACCATCCTGGAGCAAGCGGTGCAGTCGTGGTGGTGCTGAAACCAGACAGACAGCAGCTCCCTCCCTCCCCAGCTCCCCCTCCCCCAGCTGCAGCGATGCTTGGGGAACAATGATTAAGTGAGCGAGCGCTACACCCTGTGCTGAGACTCCCTGTGTTTGACTTGGTGTGGTGGCATGTGCACCTCAGCCCTAGGGAGTCTCAAATTTAAAACAGCACAGTCTCAACAGGCAAAAAATAAACTAAGAGAACATTCTCTCCTTGTAGCATCTCTCAAAGAATAATTAAAGACCTTTAATTCATAATCTCTGGCAGCATTTATATTTCCTTTCACCAGAAACATGCCTCACACCCCACAGTTCGAGACCCTGTTGTCTGTCAAAATCCCCAAGGAACACCCCCCCCCAGCTCCCCGTCTACTCCAGCCCCAATGGCTTTTGCCCCTTCTCCTCAGCATCTCTGTTCTTCAGTATATGTTCTTTCGACAATCTCTCCCGTTCTTCCTGTCTCTTGGGTCCTGCCCTTCTCGACCCATGCTCAGACCCAGCCTCACAAAGGTCTTAGAACCAACCACCTAGAGAGACAAACTCCTCTGAGCAAGCATAGAGGAAAACAGGCAAGATTCCCTCTGACAGTCTTGGGAAGAAAAGAAGTCTAGAGACACTGCACTGAACAATTTTATCCAGTTATACATATTGTTTCACTTAACTGTCACAACAACCCTGTGAAGTAGTCAGCAGCCTTGTTGCCCGTTTTGTAGATGCAGAAACTGCAGCTGGGCAACAGTCTGTAATTTGCCCAAAGTCACCAGTAAGTAGTGGGGCCAGGATTAAAACCCAGGTCTTCCCCCTCAGCATCGCAGCCCTTTAACCAAGCTACTATTTATACCCCCTCCCTCCATCCTACCAGGAACGCTAATGAAAATTCCCATCTCTGCCTGAAATCCTCTGAAAGACAACCAGACATTGCTTCTTTCCTGTACAGCACTGCTGGAAGACTCCCTGAAGTGACACTTGATCACCGGATCTGTCCTCTGCTCGTGACCGAATAACCCCACTGCGTCCACACCTCTTCCCAATTCTGCAGCCTGGCTTTCACGGCCCTCCATCAGCCGACCGCGCTCCGCTCTCTCTGGTGGGAACACCCCTCGGCCCATCCTTATCTGTCCATCCGGCAAGCCTCTTCTGTGCTCCCATGATTCTGCACATCCAACCCCCAACCACCTCGAAGTGTCCCTCGAGTCCCTTCCCTCAACCTGCTCTCCACATCCCGTGGCCGTGTGGCACCATCACAGCACCTACCACGATGTGGCAGCGCTGTGTGCGAGCAGTTACAGACACAGATACCGACAGTGGCCTGCCTTCACTCATGCTGTCTCCACAGACACCATTCATGGATCCAGCACAGAATTCGGCACACATTAGAGGGGATGATTAAGTGTGTGCTGAATTCGCCCTCAGGGAACAGCATGCAATACAGATACACATTTCACAGTGAAGATAAACCAAAAAGCTAGGTCGATTATCAAAGAGAAATTTTAAAAACTCAAATTCAGCTTATAACGTTAAAGAAATAAAAACTGTCCGTCCAATCACTGTGCCCTCACAATATGCGATCTCAGGTAAAACCAGGAAGAACTACTCAGTGTCCTCGGACGCGCCACACCCTCTGCCTCTGGGCCTCTGGTCTTGCGTCCAGACCTGGCACGCTTCCCCATCCACTCCCTCTCACAGAAGCACACCTCAACTTCCAGGACCCTGCTGCCCCTCCCCTCCTCTGTACAGTTCCCCACGGCAACCCGGCCACCACGGGTACCCCGCCTTCCCTGAAAGCGCGGGTGTGCACTGTGCGTCCTGAAGCTTTACACTTACTTATGCCTGCCTTTCCCCACCAACAGACGTCCGAAGGCGCCTACGGCCAACTGTAAGCTAGGGTCCAGAAGAAGGCACGCCTGTGCAAGGAGGTCGGCTAGAAAAGCTTCCAGTGCTGTAGATTTTAGTGCTCAGTTGTGAGTTTTTACTCTATCCATTCAGCTAGACTTTGAATTCTTTGAAGGAACATATTTTGGTTTTTTGGTTTTTTCTCCCAGTGCCTAGCAGAGCTGAACACAAAATATATACTACATATATGATTTAATTGATTTGAGTCCCAAGGTTTTACCTTTTTCATCCCAACTCCATCCTGTATCTGCAGAAGGAAGTCTAATGTCTGATCATCAGTGAAATACCCAGGAGTAGGCTGGCTGCAAATGAGAACAAGGTACGTGACTGACAGTGAATAAGAAAAAGAAAAACAAGGGCCCCTTTCCCATCCTTCCTGCATCAGCCCCAGATATCAAACCATTGCTCTGGGCAGTTGTTAGACACAGGAAATGGACCACAACAGCAGACGTGAGAAGGAGCATGCGCTAACCTGTGCAGGCCTGGAAGTCTCAGAGTCCAGTATGGAGTAAGATTCTGCCCCCGAAGCAGGACCAGGACCTGGCTGGTCGTAATCAGGAGGTTGCTACAGTTGGAGTCTGGAGCCTTCACCATCTGGAGCAGCTCAACACCATCACTGAATCACCAAGACCATGACCGTCAGTTTCTGAATAGATGAGATTCCTGACCCACTTATTTTGACTTTTTCTCTCGGTATACATGTTTGCATATACCCTTGTATTCATCTCCCACCATTACAGGAAGTCTGTCACTCAGTGTAATCTCATTTTCCTGACCTTTAGAAACCAAGGATCCCTAGAAAAGTCATGCAAGTGCATAAGGACCTCAGAGACATGTTGCATATGGCTCAGGTTGGATACTCTGGGAAAGAAAACAGAGCTGCAGGGAAGGGAGGGAAGGGAGCTGGAGGTCTGGATAGGAGTGCCAAAATTGCCATTAAGCTTGGAGAGAAACTCCTGGTACACATTTCATCAAATTATTTCTTTCTCTGTACAACTGGGACCATTTTATTTAGGATCTGCCAAATTCACTAGAACAACATGATACTACTGCCTCAGAAAATGCTAGAAAATGAATGAAAATTTCTAGTATTAAGGAATGAAGACAATGATTATGCAGGCCTGGGGGTAAATGGGTAAAATCCAAGACAAACAAACCACATGCTCTTAGTTAAGAAAGAAACAAAAATAAAAGATAAGATTTCATGTTTGCAATTCTTGCTTCTGCCAAAATGATTCTTCGACTAAGAGAAAACTACAGGAAGAGCGGGGCAGATAATTCGGCCCAGTTTTACAAACAGTTATTGTTAATAAATCTATCTCCCTACCTAACAGTTCCCCTGCCTCATGCCTCACCATGCCCCTCTCTGACTCAAAACCTAAACAAATATTCTTCTTTGCAATCTATGTGCAAAGGGATCACTCATCATGGTCACTAACACACAGATTTCAACATATCAAGAAAAGAAAATTTCTCACTCCCATCAACCAGATCCAAAGATGGTATCTTACAGCTATCGCTGTTTCCCCGCCAACCCTCTGCCCACATACTCACCAGCCCAACCACAGTGAAGAGAAACCATGGCATGAGAGCGTAGGAAACCTCAATGACAAGGTCCTACCTGTAAATGTCAATGAGTTCTGAAAGGTTGATGGATCTTCGCTTCTCCCATTCTGGCTCTTCGATCTGCAGAGAAGGTGGTGAGCTGTCTCGATTTTGGGCTTGAACAAAAAGGTCCCGCAGGGCAACAGCCTGGATATTTCCTACCACCACAAGAAGAGCCAACACTGAGAAGTTGAATTTAATAGAACTCTCCCAGGATGAGGATCTGAGAGAGGCACAGAGCCTGATCAGATGGGTCTAATATAGCCCAGCCCACCCAACATGGAGCAAACCAGGAAGTGATTATGCAGATGCTGGACCAAAAGTCTTCTCTGTGGAGAAGGCAGCAAAGGGAAAGCAGAGTTAATGACCTGCAACAGTTGGGGGCAGTGAGCAGTCCCTGCTCCAGGAGGTGATGAAAGGGCTGGTGTCAGCAATCCCTGAGTTTTCACTTTGTCTCACAAGAGACCTAATCACATACATGGATGGAAAGAGTAGCAAAAACCAGCCTTGCTTCTTACCGAAGCCAAACAGGATGTAGACTGCCCCATTCGCGGTGACGTAAACCTGAGGACCAATCAGATTCCCCACTCCCACGACGTTGTACTTCACAGGTCGGCCCACTGGACGCCCTGTCCGGCCAGACACCAGCAGAAAGCACAGATCTGGCTGAAGAATTGTAAGAAGGGGTTTGAGTCAATAGAAGCCTATCGTTTCCTAATTAAATAGTCTCCACAGGGTCGTTGCTGCGTTTTTAGCTAAGAGTTCAGAAACACTTTCCAAAGTTGGAAAGCACCCTGTCCAATCTGCTTTACTCCATTTCCCTAGAAGTAAGAGAGGCGAACACCCTGTTCCCTCATTAGATACCCACAAAGGACATCTTTACGGTAGCTCAGGCAATCTCTCTGCAGCACAGTTTTTGCTGATGAAAAGTTTCCTAAGACCAGAATTCTAGCCCAGAGCTAAATATAGGACAGCTGACCTCTGGTCTTTACTCTCATACCCAGAAGTCCTCAGTAATATTTGGTCCCAACAAGAATCAATTCAGACACTGATCTCCCATCATAAAATTACATATCTGGCCTGGCCACTCTCAACCTTACTCTTGAGCAAAGATGGGCAAACGTTTTCTGTGAAAAGCCAGATGGTAAATACTTCAGGTTTTGCATGCCAAATAGTTTTACTAGTAACTATTCTACCACTATAGCATGAAAGTGGTCATACGTAATACATAAATGAATAAGCATGACTGTGTTCCAATAAAACTTTATTTACAAAAACAAGCAATGGGCCACATCTAGCCTACAGGCCATAGTTTGCCAACCTCTGCTCTAGCGGATTTTCTTTTGGGAAGAGAGTCGCTGGTTGGGAACTATGAGGACTCTATCAATATCCTGACTTCAGTCGTGTTTTTGACACAGTTTACCATTCTGAGTTCTTACAGACAAGATAAAGACAAGTGATTTTTAGCACACCCAGAGAAGGGTCAGTGACAACGCAAAGGGAGGTTTTAGTGGAATGTCACTGCACTCTGCTTTTTTCCCAATCCTACTTATCATTCCTGTCAGACTTGAATGAACAGAATTCAAGGTCATCACAAAGCTGAAAGGAACAGCTAATATGCTGTATGAGAAACTCAAAATTCAACAAGTCTTAGGCTGAAAGATGGGTCAAGATCTAGAAGAAGAAATCAGGCCGTTGATGCATTGATCAATTAAAAGACATGGGTGTTTGATTATAAATAAAAACTGAATCTTAGAAAGGTTACCACAATCTTTGGCTGCATTAACAGAAATACAGAGTCTATATCCAAAGAAGTCATTTCCTTATTTGCTATAACTTATTTAGAAGTAGAATACTGTTTTCAGATATGGGTACCATCTTTTAAGAGAGATGTAGACAAACTGGAGTACAAAGGGAAAGAAAAAAAGAGGAGTCCTGACTTGCTGCGGCATGAAGGACAATCCGAGTAACGGGAGGTGTTTAGCCTTTAGCGTAGCAGGCTTAGTGGGATGAGGTTAACAGGTAAAGGGCTTTCATGTAGAAAGAGGATTAGATCCATTCAGAGTGGTTCTACGGGGCTGAAGCTAGACAAGGAATGGCAGCTAGGAGAAAGATTTCTCATCAATGACAGAATTTTCTAGACCTGACCAAAAATGAAATGGACTGCTTCACAAATCAGTGATCTTCCCCTCAGCCTGAGTACTCGAGGAGAGTACGGGTGCCAATGAGTCTGGAATACTGCACCAGAGAACACAGCATGTATGAAGGGGTTAACCACATGGCTTTTAAGGTCCTTTCCCACTAATGTTCTAGGCCAGATCAGTTCTGCTAACCCCATACCAGGCCAGCCGTCCCAAGCCCACTGCACTCTAAACCCAGATCTCAGAATGCAATAGCTCAGAATGCAAAGGCACAGACCTAACGTGCTGTATTCCTTGTGAACAAAGAGCCTTGCGTATCTGTGGCTTAGAGTAGACAGGTTCCTCAGAGACGTTCTCTGTTGCTGGTATAGAGGTCAAAAGAGATCAGTAAAAAGGTAAAGCTACTGCTCTAAACCCATCACTTCACCAAGGTTTTCCTAGCACAGTCTATCACTTTTTAGGCAGAATGGAGACGATTCCATATCCGCACACTATTGTGCAAATAAGTACACTCTCTGAGGCAAGCTGGGCACTTTTTGGTTTTTGGTAGAGACAAAAGACAAAAGGCAGAGTACAACTGGCAAGAGGCCAATTCGTCTATTAGAGGCCACTTCACCAGAAGGGTCTCTAAAAGCCTGAACCATTGTCCCCTCAACCACCAACCACCACTTGCTAATGAGATGCCATTAGCAAGTATTAAGGTCTACATTTTAAACTTCCTCAATGTTTTGCTCTGCCTCTGCTAACCTTAACTCGTGGAAAAGAAACTCCCCTCCCCATACTTCCCCCTCTGGGGCCTTCAGGGAATCACTGCCTGATGGAGGTACTTACTAAAATTTTCCCAAGACCCTATTCACAGTGACTGCAATAAAAAGAATTAGGTGAATAATTCCAGAATTCTTGGTTCGGCCTACTTCAAGACCTACTGGCTATTTGAAGAAAAACTAATAGAAAGTACCCTTAAAACTGACCAGCCTCCAGAAATTCTCCTCCTGTGTTCTTTCCTCTCATCTCAGTCATAAGGTTCGCCTGGGGTACTGGAGCAGTGCTCCTCAAAACTCATGACTGGTGGGCGTTTCAACATAGTTCATGGTGCTCTTGGCAGAAGACCATAAAATGCTGATAGATTTAATTCTGTTCTAAATAATATTAATTGTGGGTTTTACAACTGCTCTTCATTTATGCACTACAAAAATCACAAAAGCAATACGAGGTCCATTAAAATTAAAAGTATCAAAAGAGGCAAAACGATCCGTAGCCACATTTTTCTTCAACTATTCCTTCCCAACTGTTCAACTGTTTTGTCCACAAGCACCTCCTGAAAGACTGTCAGGAGGAAGTCTTGGAGAAACGTTGACATAAGCTCCGAGAAAAGCTTCAGGAATAAAAACTTAAAATTGAGACAGTTCTGTTCATTAATTCTGTAATTTAGGGAGAAAAAATACCTACAGTGACTTTACCGAGGCAGAGGATACTTAGTTCCAAGGCGCTGGCGTTCCAGGGAAGCATAATTCAGGAGCGTAATCTAAGGACCACTGTACTAGAATCAAAGTGTATATTGTCACAGCCTCAACTACAACTCTCCTTTCTTTGGTCATTGTTGTTAGTTCTTGTCTGGCTTAGAATTTTTTCTGTGTTTGTTTTATGAACTTTCTATCAGTCTGCCTTTTTGTTTGATAGTTGAAATAAAAATTAAATTATGGTAAAACTAACAATACATACATATGGTACAACACAGGCACTATTCCTGGCACCTTAAACGTTAGCTCTAACAATCCTGCCAGTAGATACAACATCCCAATTTACATACGGAGAAACCAGGGTTTGGCTTACCCAAGGCCACAAAGCTACAAAGTGAGGGAGCAGAACTCGAACACAGATCTCTCTGGCTGCAAAGCTCCACCTGCCACCTTCGATGGAACCATAATGAGATTGCTAGGGAAATGGGTTCTAACAATTTATCCATTTAATCTCACAAAGTAGATTTATTTAAATCTAAGCCTTTGTAATAAGAGGTTTCAAGCAGCATTTATAATAACAATACTACTAACTAACTAAAGTTGAAGTAGTTAGTCCCTGTAAGGAACAAGGACCATTCAATATAGAGCATACCTGCGGCTCCCCAACAGCCAGAACCACAAGATCTCTAACGCCATCTTCATCCACATCCGGCAGCACCACCCCTGGGGCAGCCAGGGTACCGTTGGATAGGTAGTTTGAGTTTAAAGTCCAAATAGCTTTCCCTAGGGGAGGACAAATAGGCTGATCACAATTACAGCTTTCTGCCTTGGGAAAAGGCAGCCACAATGCCCCCAGGCCAGAAAAGGAACCCAGTGGCTGAATGACAGACAGACAGCAACCCTCCTTCCTTTTTCCTTTACCGTACTGGGGAAGAAGGGAGCAGGGAGTGTGAGCTGAAATCCTCAAGCATTTGGCTAACAAACCTATGTCATAACTTCACACCTAGATTTTTTAGGTAAAATGGAGGTACTAACATCTCCCCAGGAGAGAGAAGCCTTATCTGGGAGAGAGGAACTGGATGGTTACAGATTATTACTATTAAGAAACCACCTAGGACAGCCAGAAGACTAACTCTCTCCTACTACATGTTCACCTGAGTAGAGAAATTGTAGGAGATTTTCAAGATGACCTCAGCTCTAAGAGTTAACTCACATGCAATTTTTTTCCACTCAGAAGTACCCACCAAACTCCAACATCTAAAAGTGGGGAGGACAATCTTTATTTAGCCTCACTTGAGTCCGAGGTGTTAACAAGCATACCTGTAGCACACTTATGACTCTGTAAAGAGCCTTCATCACATGATTTTCACCCCTTTTGTCATGTATGTCTGAATGCTTCAGGAAGACAAAAGGCCAAATCAACATGCCTTGACAAACCCTACCTTCTTCACTGACATATTTCTAAGTGGTTGATGCCCAAGTTTACACATGGACACCATATATATGCAATATGAGGAGGCAGTGCTCAGCTGTCTTTTGTGCAAAGAACAGAGTAGTGAGACTACTTAGACACCAGAGGCCTCCAGGGAGTTTCTGTTCAGGTCAAACCGTGGACCTACCACTCACACTATTCCAACCCTTTCTGTTATCTCCCTACATAATCCCCTTCCAAAGTAGTAAATCAGATTTCCCACCATGTGAGAGTGGAAAGGTCCCTTCCCCACCAGGCTGTTCTAATCTGAGATTATGGCCCAGAGATTTTTTGTCGCAAATGATCTTCACCTGATGTCGCATTGAAAGCGCTGAGCATCTTGTGGGTCCCTGTCACAAGGCAGACGGTCCCGGGCATGCTTCCTGGCATCAGATCCAAGCATGTGATATCTCGAGCCTCCTCCGGGAGAGGACTCGACCAGAGTGTGCTGCCATTCATCCCCGAAAGGCACATGAGAACAGCAGGTGGCCCTGAGACACCTAAAAGCACACAAAAGAGAGAAGAAAGGAAAGGAGGCGAGGAAATAAGAGCAGAGATGAGCAGGAGGCCAAAAACCCAGAAGTAAGTGGTGAGGCAGCAACCCACACCCGTGTGCTCAGCTCCCCCCATATTTCTGGCAACAAGAGATGGAAACAGAGTACCTATCATGTCTGCTCAACACAGCTCTCTTCCAAGACAAGAGCCGGGACCTCTTCCAGGCCCCTTACCAACTCCACTCCTGCACCGCTCCCAACACATTTGTTTCTGTGTCTGTCACCTGAGACCCACAAAATACTGACATCCCTAAGGATAAAGACTGTTGCGTTAATTTCTGTACCCTCAGTGCCGTATAAAGCACCTAGTATATAGCAACCAATTGTTTTCTGAATAAAGACAGGAACAAAAAAAAATCAAGAATAGAACCCAAAGAATCAAGAATCAAAAATCAAGAATAGGGGAGAAGGGATACTCAGAAAAAGTAGTTATTGAGAAAAAAAAGTAGCTACTGAGAAAAACAACAACAAAGGGAGAGAAAGACATGCTTAGAAAAGTGAGGCTAAACTAGAATATCTGCAAGGCAGGAAGCAAAATACCTGAATTCTAATCCTCACTAGCAAATGCTCCCTGAGAGCAGAAAAACATATTTTAAAAATAATAAACCTAAAGATTAACAACCATCAGCAAGTCTTCCTGGTCCAGAGTTCACTGGAATCGGCGGGTTCGGCCCCCGTCAGGAAAGAGTGCTACTTGGGGAAACAGACCAGGGCCAAGGACAGCTGGTCCAGGACTGGAGTAGCTCACCTTTTTAATCACCACACCTTCATGTCAATCAACATAGCGGAATACTCACTTCCTCTGGTGCCAGTTCTACGTTCATGTTCAGTTCGGGTCACGGACCCATCAACACACTTTCCACTTCCAGCAACAACTAAACAGCCTCGTGGCGCCTATTCCTCAGCCTGCTAATTAAACACAACCTGACCACGGGACGCACTGCAGCTCAGTTTCAGCCTCGGCAGCCAGAAGCGGTGACACTCAGGACAGATCGTGGTGAGAGATGTTAACGTCCAGATTTCTCAGGGATGCTCTGATTAACATACTGCGCTGCCCTTCCTCCTCAAGGGCCCTACTGACTCCACGTCCATTCTGACTCATCCTTTTCTGGATGGTGATGGGTTGGTTATCCCTTCCCCACCAGTCTGTGACTCCTTCACACAATGACCACGCTCATTTTGTTTAGCTCAACGTAACCAGCAGCTCTACGTAAGGTACATAGCAGGCATTCAATACACAGTTACTGAATGAATGGATGAACAGAACAAACAAATAAAAAACACAATCCTTCTTATGCTTGGGGCACAGATCTCTGAACCCACTGTCTGGGGTTATGGGCAGCACTTTGACATAAGGGTCAAAAACATGAACTCCACAGCCAGACTCCCAGGATTTGGATCCCAGCTCTATCACCAGTTGGGGGACATTGGGCAAGTTCCTTAGCCTCATTATGTCTTAATTTCCCCATCTACAAATGGGGTTAATATTAGTCTACCTCATGGGACTGAGATGAGGAATACATTCATCTATATGTTATGGACTTACAATGGTGCAAAGCACATAGAAAGTACCACATGTCAGCAATACTATTTTTACAATCTATGACCAAATCAGGCTGGTTCGTATTATGTCCAACCAAACCCATGATCTTGTCGTAATGAGTCCTGATATGCAGCAAACCATGCAAAATACCAAATGACCAAAATAATCTCCATATCTAAAAGTGGATGGGGAAAATTTTTACTTCAATGGCTAGCTAAAGAGTCATAGGCAGAAAAAAATGTAACCCGGGTTCAATCACATAAAAGTCAGTTTCCTGCCTGGAGATTCTCTGTAACAGATCTATGCCCAAATGGCTTCTACATAGTGCACAAACCCCAGAAAGGTATTTCTTATGACATCAGAGAGGCACACAGACTAGAGTTCTCTAAAATAGACCTAGATATTATTCCAGGGCCTGAATGATTAAAAAGTAGTTACTAGGACACCCTCAGGCTCAAACTTGAGTTCCTGTATCAGTTTACAGACTTTAAGGGAAGCTACAGGACAAACCAAAGCTCCTGTGTACTGATGCTGAAAATGCAGCACTTTTTTTTTTGGAAGTTGATATGTGTAACATCCGGAGTCCCAGGAAACAGACACTCAATTAGGGCAGCTTGTGACAAGATGTGGTCAGGGTGTAGGGCGACTACCAAGAACAGTACAGTCCTTCGGAACTGTTACCACTCCCAGGCCCAGAGGGACAGTAGAGGAAGTGATTACTGGAATCTAGAAAAAGAAAGTCCTAGAAGAGAACCACCCTGACAGGAGCTGTGACCCGTGATCAAGGATGTGGCCAGACTGAGGTCACCCAGCAGGAGGGGGCCGGAGGAATGCACACCCTCTCTCCCTCTCCTCCAGTTTCTTGCCTGTGCTCTCCATTGGCAAACCCAACTGGAAGTCTGCAGGCAAGGGAGACCCCGGATATAACCCATACAGGTCAGCCTCCCAAAGCAGGGAGCAAAGTGCAGAGCAGAAGCGAAGAAGTAAGAGGAAAACATTCAGCCAAGATGTAAGTGTGACAGACATATTAGTACATGAACAAAAGCTTTCTGCCAGGGAGTGGGAAAATGGGAAAGTCTACAGAAAACTGACTGGGAGAAAACTCAAGAAACCGAAGTACCAATGCTGAGTGCTGCAGGTATGTGCGCAAGTCAGTTCCTCTCTGGATCTCAGCTTCTTCATTGGACTGGGGACCACTAAAAGTTCCTTCCAGCTACAGAGCTCTGTGGTTCTTGAAATGAGCTATATTTACGCACAGGAACCTCCTGATAGGGTTTGTCCTGAATGGCAGCTCCATGGTGACTTCCTATGCACTGCAGACCCTTTTCTATACCGCCCCTCAGGGATGCTTTCTCTTAGCTCACAGCCCCTCCAGCCAACGAGCTTCTCCTCGAGCAACCTCCAAAGACACATCTCTTACCGACTGCACTCCCGTTCCTTGACGTTACAAAGGACAGAAGCACATCACGCAGACCATCTCCATTCACATCCGCCAACTCCAATGGAGACAGGTCCCCACCTAATAAATACATTAAAAAAACAGCAAGTTACCACAAACTAGTTAAAAAAGGAATGAATACATAGTGTCAGCACTTCCATAAAAATCAGGCAGACTTCTGGTTCCCAGATAAGAGAGTAGACTCAATTCTGCCTATTCCTCTCACTAAATGCAGCTAAAATCCTGGGCATTGTACAAGAAACAAACAGAAGGCTCTGGAAGGTGGTGAGAGGCAGACCAGCTAGGGACTGAGACCCAAGGAGTGACAAGGTGATGTCTCCTCTGGTTTTTCTTTTGGCCTCATATAACCCAGACAGGGTGCTGCAGAAGCCGGCAACCCAGAAATGCCAACAGGTTGAGACAAAAAGGCTCCAAGAAAAGCTGGCTCCCTTTGCCTAGCAAGACAGACCAGTTTTCGATAATAACTGCTATAGTCCAGCCGAGTAACAGAGATAAAACTGGTCCCGCCCTCACAGCAAAGGCCAAGTGGGGAGCCTAGACTACCATCTTCCCCGGCAGCAACAAAGCACCCCTCCTTCCCCACCACGGCCATGTCTCGCACCCCCTAGCAGCACTGAGGCCCTCCCCGCACCTGGGAAGCCTCTGGTTCTAGCCCGCCCAGCACTAACAAGGCAGCCCACCATGGGTGTCATCTCCACCTGGCAGGGACAAGGTAGGCAGTGTCACCAGCCCCTCACCCCTCAATGGTGTGGAGCCAGAGGATGCCTGCCAAATCTGGAGAACTCACACATAGCTAGTGGAAGTGTACACTGTTACAACCACTATGGAAAATAATTTAACACAAACTATTGAGATTGAACAGGCACATACTATGTGACCCAGCAATTTCACTACTAAGTTTATTCCCTTGAGAAATTCTTACACAACACATCAGGAAACATGTACAAGAATCTTCTTAGCGGCATTATTTTTTTAATGGATGCCACTTAAATAAAGTTCATAAACAGTAAAATAGATTAATAAATAATAACATATTCATTCTACCCTAGCCAGTTTGGTTCAGTGGTTAGAGTGTCAGCCTACAGACCGAAGGGTTGCAGGTTCGATTCCAGTCAAGGGCATATACCTGGGTTGCAGGTTTGATCCCCAGCCCCAGTCAGGGTCGTTCTGGAGGCAACCAATCAATGTGTCTCTCTCATACTGATGTTTCTCTTTCCCTCTCTCTCTGTCCCTCCTTCCCTTCCACCCTACCTAGAAAACCAATGGAAAAATATCCTCAGGTAAGGGCTAACAAAAAACAAAAAACATATTCATACCATGGAAAATTACACAGTGGTGAAAATGAATGAACTCTAGCTATAGCACCACAACATGGATGAACTGTAAAAATAGTTTTAATATATTAAACAAAAAAGATCAACATGATACAGGGGTGTGGGAATATTGTAGGGGAGGGAAAACCGTTCCTCTACCCGCTTAGGGTTTCTAGCTGGGACTAACATGAGACAGATTAACAAGAGAAAAGCATTTACATTTTATTTAATAAAACTGTACATGTACTGGAAGTCCCCACATGAAAACGAAGACCTGGGGTCCATTAAGAGTGGCAACTGGCCCTGGACAGTTTTGCTCAATGGTTAGAGTGTTGGCCACGGACCACTGAGTTCTGGGTTCGATTCCAGTCAAGGGCATGCACTTCGGTTGAGGTTCATCCCTGGCCCTGGTGGGGTTGTGCGGGAGGCAACCAGTCAATGTGGCTCTATCACATTGATGTTTCTCTCTCTCTCTCTCTTCCTCCCTCCCACTCTATCTGATAATAAGTAGAAAAATATTCTCGGTTGAGGAATTAAAAAAAAAAAGAGTGGCAACTGTAGAAAAGTAACTGGAATATATGTGGAGACTAGAGAAAGGTAAGAGGTATTTTAACAAGGGCTGTTGTACACATTTGTCTTGGCCCAACTCCATGTCTCCAGTGATAAGAATGTTTCTTTCTTCTTGCTATAGGAAGACCATCTCTCACATGTGAGTCTCATCTCCTGATTTCAGAAAGAATTGAAGGTCAGAATGGCCTTCTTGCTTCTGCTGTTGTTCAAGTGCCTTTAAGTCAAAATAATCAATATGCCAAAGTGACATATTTGGGAGTGGTATGTTCTGAACCCTTTCAGCTTAATGCAGTTTACAAGAGACAGGATGGCTCAGCACTAACAGTTTAGATACAATCCCTATTCTTGACCCAGAACAAGCTATTTTAAAGAGACCTGCTCCAAAATGAGACCAAAGAGTTAGAATGACTTGGGCAGCACCATCTTAACTAACCATTAGAAGCAAGAAAGAAAAGTTGCTGCAGGAAAAGCAACTCTCTTTTACTTGAAAATAAATTATTTTACAATTCAAATTAGGTCAGGCTTCTATAATTAACGAATGTCTGAGGGTCCTACAAGAATACTGGCTTCTAGTCTGGCCAGTCCTTGAGCCTTGCTTTTCTCTGGAAAGAGCTCTTCCCACAGCTTTGCTCTCCCCTGGGACAGTGTTGTCTGCACGGCAGGAACCAGCAACCAATGCCCGTCCTGTCTGTGTGTAATTAAGACCCATGCCAATACCTCTTCCACCCAGTCCCCCCGCCCACCTCTGGCAACCACCAGTCTGCTCTGTGTGTCTACGAGTCTGTTTCAATTTTGTTGGTTCATTTATTTTGTTCTTTATATTCCACATATAAGTGAAATCATATGATAGTCGTCTTTCTCTGACTAACTTATTTCACTGAGCATAATACCCTCTAAGTCCATTCATGCTGTCACAAATGGTAAGATTTCATTCTCTTTTATGGCCAAGTAATATTCCATTGTATTAAGAAGTACAAGTTGGTAGTTACAAAATAGTCATGGGGATATAAACTACAGCATAGATAATATAGCCAATAATATTTCAATAATTATGTATGGTGGGTACCAGGTAGGTACTGGAAATATCAGGGGGAACACTTTTTACAGTATATGATTGTCTAAATACTATGCTACACACATGAAACCAATAAAAATAATATTGAAAGTAAACTGTAATTGAAAATAACATTTAAAAAAACCAATGCCAACAGAAACACAAAGCAGTGACCTTCCCAAGTTTTTTGAGCTGCAGCAATCCATCTTGTCTTATTTCAATCTTAATCTCCTAAAGGCACCTCTACACACAGGTGGAGAAATGCCCTATGACACACATTAATTTTTAAAGACCTGGAAGACATGTTCAATATAATCAGAAGCTTTACAGAATTAGGGGTGAAAATCCTGCAACTCACCTCCTTGGGGGCCCAAGTGGCGGCTCCAAGTGCTGTGCAGATCTCTGGGGGGACAGGGGATCAGGAAAGCACACACGAGCACCAGGACCATGGAGACCACCAAAGTCAGCAGAAACACAGATGTGCGCACATAAGACACAATGGAAGAGGCTGCCTTCTGCTCCAGGCCTCCGAGGGGCTCCACGGGGTACCTCTCTGTGGTGACCTCTGACAGATGTGGCTTTGCAGGCCCTGCAACTTCAGCATCGGAGTCAGGCTCTGGTGCTTCCCCCAGAGGACTCGTCCCGTTTTTGACCCCTCCATTCTTCTGTTGCAGGTCAAGTACCAGATCGTCTTCACTCTCGTCACTGTCGGCCTGTGTGAGGGGATCATACTCCCCTAGGTCTGGGCTCTTCTTCCCTGAAAACACAGAGAGAGAGAGCTTCAAGGAGAACAGGAAGGAGAAACCCTCACCAAGTACATGGCAACTGTGAACACCTAGGAAAACACACAGAACTAAGCAAACTGAAACAGATCTAGATCTGCAAGCCTTGGACCTGTGTGGCTCTGCAAAACAGATGCCAGCATGGAGGAAAGAATGGCAGGGGTGGGAGGGGGACCACAGTATTCTAGAATTATTGCTTTCATGAGTCTAGGAAATTGGAAAAGAAACAGATTTAAAATACCCTTTTAGGTTTTTTGTGTGTCTTTTTAAAAACTCTTCATTTGTTTGAATCTCACTAATGAAAAAGACCATGGCTCCTACATCATCAACCTCCCATATGCCTAATGTGCATATTTTCTTTTATTTTCTTAGATATGTGATGCTACAATCTTTCCTGGGACTTTCCTAAACTTTTAGAACAATTATGCTTGTTCTGCTTCTCACAGTCTAATATCTGTGGCTTCCCAACTGTTTCTATGAAACAACTTAGAAAGTTGACCGCTAAATGCCACCTGGGGATGTTTCGCTGGAAACTCACTCCTGAGAACCTTCCTGGGATTCTGATGCCCTTTCAGTACATGTTTCAGTAAACAGTGTTTATCACTAAAAATGCTATTCTGAGCATGTGTTCCAGGAGGGGTGAAATGGAGAAAGAACGCAGAGGTAGAGGACTTGTCCTGAAGCTGGTTTGCACAACAAACACCTGTTTTTACTTAAGACCTTATGTTTATTTGGGGTAAAGAGGTGGAAATTACAGAAGAGCTTAAGCACACCTCCCTGTAAGCAACCCCTTGGCCCTCACTGCCAATGATTGGATGATTTTATGCCTTTATTTCATGTGATAACCAAGTAAAAACCAAGAAAAAGTTTCTGTTTTGGAAATTACCTGGTAAGCTGTAACTAATGTAAATGCTACTTTAAATCTTTTGTTATGAAGAAATATAAAAAATCTAATTAAAAAGGGAAAAAGAAGCATTCTTGATCCTACTCTTGGTCTCTGGTCCCTGTGCCCTTGGTGATGTCACTTCACATATCACATCTCAGTTTGCTCAAGACATAAAATGAAGCAATAAAACACTATAGCAGCGGTTCTCAACCTGTGGGTCGCGGCCCCTTTGGGGGTCGAATGACCTTTTCACAAGGGTCAACTAAGACATAACAGTAGCAAAATTACAGTTATGAAGTAACAACTAAAGTAATTTTATGGTTGGGGGTCACCACAACATGAGGAACTGTATTAAAGGGTCACAGCATTAGGAAGGTTGAGAACCACTGCAAGTCAAAGGAGACCCAACTGGGAAGTAAAATCTTTAGTGTAAAGTTTAGTGTTTGGTACATAAGTCAACCAACGTTAGATTTGAAAATGAACGTTCCACAGAATAATTTTATAACATTAAGTACTTTGCAAAATACACACAGGAGATACTGAGTAATTTGGCATTCTATTAACCAGAAATTTCTATATATTTTCACTTTCAAAGCTATTATCATTTTGTTTGATAAATATGGTACTTGATCTTTAAAGGCATAAATTATTATTTAAAAAACAATTCTTAGGAATTTAATTCAAAATAGTACTTCAGGATGTGCCATAGAGTCACTACAGGTTCAAGCTAATCTCATCTAATTTCTGTATCTACTCTGTGAACCAAATTATTTTATTAATTAGAGTATTTCATTCCCTAACCACCTCAGGTAACAATATTTATAATTTACAAACAGAACTATAGGTTGTTGTAATAATATTAACTCTAATACTTTTTAAAGTGCTTTTTTTTAACTAAATGAATATATTTAACAGGATTTTTAATGTGCTATATACAAAAATGGGATATTATTGGAAACCTATTTGAAAAAATAATGAGAGAAAACTTCCTTAACTTAGTGAAGGAAACATACAAGTCCAGGATGCACAGAGAGTCCCAAACAAGATGAACCCAGAGAGGCGCACACCAAGACACAGCATCATCAAAATGCAAAAGGTTCAAGACAAGAATCTTAAAAGCAGCAAGAGAAAAGCAGTTAGTTACCTACAAGGGAGCTCCCACAAGACTCAGCTGATTTCTCAAAAGAAACTTTGCAGTCCAGAAGGGAGTGACAAGAAACATTCAAAGTGATGCAAAGCAAGAACCTACAACCAAGATTACTCTGTCCTGCAAAGCTGTCATTTAGAATCAATGGACAGATCCTGGATGGTTTTGCTTAATGGTTAGAGTGTTGTCCCGTGGACCAGAGTCACGTGTTCAATTCTGATCAAGGGCATGTACCTCACTTGTGGTTCAGTCCCCAGCCCTGGTCAGGGGTCCTGCAGGAGGCAACCAATCGATGTGTCTCTCTCACACAGATGTATGTCTCTCTCTCTCCACCCCCCCTCCCCAACTCTATCTGAAGATAAATGGAAAAATATCCCCAGGTGAGAATTAAAAAAAAAAAAAAAAATGAAGAATCAATGGACATATAAGAAGTTTCCCAGAAAAGAAAAGCTAAAGGAGTTCATCACCACCAAACCACTATTATATGAAATGCTGAAGGGCCTTCCTGAAGAAGATAAAAAATATTAATAAAATGGCAATAAATAAATATGTATCAACAACTGAATTACAAACCAAATGAACAAGCAGAACAGAAACAGACTCACAGATAGAGAGAACTTGTTGTTTGTTGACAGATGGGAGGGTGGTTGGGGAGATGGGCAAAAAAGGTGAGGAAATTAAGATGTGCAAATTGGCGAGAAGTACAAATTGGTTGTTAGACTGAAAGAACCTCAAAGGGAAGAGGGGAGGAGGGGTGGGAAGAGATAAACCAAGGAACTTATATGGATAACCAATGGACACAGACAATAGTGTGGGGAAGGCAGGAGGGGGACGGGAGTGGGGAGGAGGGGCCAGTGGGGCAGAAAGAGGGGACATCTGTTATACTTTCAACAATAAAGATAAGTTCAAAAAAAAAGGAAAGGAAATTCTGACACATGCTACAACACAGATAAATCTTTAGTACATTATGCTAAGAGAAATAATCCAGTCACAAAAAGACACACACTGGCCCTGGCCAGTTTGGCTCAGCGGTTAGAGTGTCAGCCTGTGGTCCTGAGAGACCAGGGTTCGGTTCCCGCTAAGGGCATGTACCTCGGTGCGTGTCTCTTTCACATCGATGTTTCTCTCTCTCTCCCTCCCACTCTATCTGAGTGAACAAAAAAATGGAAAAATGTCCTCGGGTGAGGATCAAAAAACAAAAAGACAAATACTGTATGATCCCACTTACATGTAGTCAAATTCATAGAAACAGCAGGTAGGATGGTGGTTTCCACCTTTACAAGAAGCAGGCTGTCAGCATGGCAGGTTAGAAAAGTAGCTGTAACACAATCAGTTGAGGAGAGAAGGATTTTTTTTGACAGTCTGAATCCAATCAGGAGACAGAAACCAGACAGTAAATCAAAGAGGACAAGTTTAATACAGAAAATTATTAAACAATGATAGGGTAAGAGACATCTAAAAAGCACCATACAATTGAGAGATAAGGTCTAAGGAAGAACAAACTTGGTATTTAAATGGCCCAGATCCACTTCCACAGATCAGGTAACAAAGGTGAATTTGGAGTTCAGGGCAATAAATTGATACCTGGCACAGTAAACAAAGAGAAGTAAATGGTAAGGCAGCACACTAAGCCCTGTGACAAACTGGCCACCTCCTGCTAGCCAGGATAGCAACATCACCAAGGAAGAGCAGTCGGGAAAGAGGGATCCCAGTTAACAGGCCTCATAAAATTCCAGTTTACAACTGCCCAGCTCACCCAGCCTCTGCCACATGTCAGCCAGCAGCTAGCTGTAAAACAACTGCCCACAGAAATATGAATAACAGTCAGAAAGGAGCCATTACTAGCCGTTCCTCTGGAAGATACTACAAAGTTCTACAAACATTCAAGAAAGAAGTTACGACAAAACATCAAACAAAATCAGCTAAAGAACAAATGTTGGACAAATGATACCATGAAATGTAAGAAATAATGAACAGATACTTCCCTGTGGAATTCAAGAAATTAAAGAAAATAGCCTTCTCCGAAATAAGAAAAAATATAATTTGTCTAAGGAGAAATGGCAGTTCAATAGAGAGGATGACAAGTAAACAAGCGGGGCTCAGAAAAATGCAAAATAATAAAACAATTTTAGAAAAGATATCTTTGTTGGGATCAGCAAAAGAACAGACCCTGCTGAAAACAGAATCAGAGACATACAGGATAGACGGGTAAAAATCAAGAAAAATGAAATGGAAATAACAATGGCTGGCAATTCTGAGCCCTTACTATGCTTCCTTCCAAACCCTTTTACTGTCTTATCTCAGTAAGTCTTCATAATAACTCTTTCAGGTAGACACATTATTATCTCCATTTTGAATATGAGGACACTGAGGTTTGGAAATTTAACTAACTGGCCCATAGCTAAACAGCAAGTAAGTGATAGTGCAAGGATTCAAACCCAGGCAATCTGGCTTTGAAGTCTGTACTGACTACCTATGTGCCTCCCATGGAAAAGAGCAAGGCTTTTAAAAGGACTGGAAAGAAAGGGATGATTACAGAAAACAAGGTGATCCAATCTATGTATAACTGAAGAAGAGAACAGAAAAGTAAATGGAGCCCTGACCGGTTTGGCTCAGTGATTAGAGTGTCGGCCTGCGGTTCCGAGAGACCCAGGTTCAGTTACTGCTAAGGGCACGTACCTTGGTTGCAGTTTGTCCCCAGCCTTGGTTGGGTCATGGGGGTGGCAGCCACTCAATGTGTCCCTTTCATGTCGATGTCTCTCTCTCTCTCTCTCTCTCTCTCTTCCTCTCTCTCCCTCCCACTCTACCTGAACAAAAAAATGGAAAAATGTCCTCGGGTGAGGATAAAAAAAAAAAAAGAAAAGAAAATGGAACCGAAAATAGTAAAAGATATACCAAAAAGGTCCTGCAATAAAGCAAGACCTAAAACTGCAGAATAAAGGATACAGTGAGTCCCGAGAAAAACCGATACAGAATAATCAACACTGAAACATATTCTAGGCACTGAACTTCAAGGACAAAGAAAGAATCATATGAGCAGCCAGGCCAAGGGAAAAAGAATGAAGTCACTCACGATAGGAACAAAACTCAGGCTGACTTCTCCACAGTAACATACATTCCTAAACGATCCTGCCACAATATGTAAAAAGTTCTAAGAGAGCCCTGGCCAGTTTGGCTCAGCGGTTGGAGCGTCGGCCTGCGGTACAGAGAGACCCGGGTTCAGTTCCCGCTAAGGGCACATACCTCGGTTGCAGTTTGTCCCCCGCCCTGGTTGGTGGTGCGGGTGGCAGCCACTCGATGTGTCCCTTCACATCGAAGTTTCTCTCTCTCTCTCTTCCTTTCTCTCCCTCCCGCTCTATCTGAACAAAAAATGGAAACAATGTCCTCAGATGAGGATAAAAAAAAAAAAGTTCTAAGAGAAAAAAACAGGAGGTATGAAGTATAAGAACTCTGTTCCAGACACGACATTTTTGAAGTATAAAGGCAAGCATGCAAGAACTCAGAAGCCAGAAAGACATTCTTGTGTCTTTCCTTTAAAGATCATACAAAATGAGGACTAATTCTTGTCCAAACTCTTAAAATAAATATTTACTTTTACACTATTAATAATACATATTTTTCCAGATAGTTCAAGACAAACCTCAGCTTAATTATTACAGACTGCAAGTTTTTATTACAGAACTCCTAAGTAAGTATTTTTTTCTATCTATGTTTCACAGAAAGACAACAAAGGTGTATAAACATCAACTCTTCAGGCTGAGGAGCTAACATCAAAACCATGCTATAAGCTCAGGGTACTTTAGCACTCTCTTCTCTGATAATTTCAGCTGCTACCCACATTGTTAAAACCAATAAAAGATTTTTAAAGAATAAGGGAGAAGACACTGATTTCACAATACATCAATATAAATGAACTTTCCATAGCTATCACTTTTCCCCACAGGAAGATTGAGGATGCTGATTACATAACCATTCCCAAAAATGGAGGAAAATATAAATAGCAAAGAGATGCAACTATACCATCCCCAAAGGTTTCCAGAAAAATATACTATAATATAGACTTGTCTATGATATGTAGTATACTTTACATAGACTCTATTATACACTCTACTGCAACTAAAGGTAAATAATTCACATCATGGATTAGTTTATCCAGGACACATAATCTTTCTAAGTTACACATAATAAAACAAATCCCTACAATAACATTATGCTCTGACGTTCCTTCAGTATTTGTCCTTCAAACTTTAAAATGAACTAAAACAATATATACTTGAGAGAAATTATCCCATAGACTACTTTATGAATGTCATATTGTCCTTCTGTTATTGATTAACCTCATTCTATGCATGGGAGCCAAAATCTTTCCATCTTGAGCTTAGTGGAAGGGCATGAGACTGAAATACATTCTCAGCAACTGCTCTTTCTTCACGAGGTTGAGGACACCTATTGTTACCTCACTATTATACTGGCCTTCCTTCAAGTATCACTTTCATTGATGATCATGGTGCTAATGATGATAACTAATGGTGCTAGTAATAGCTAACACTGAATAACTAACATGTGTCAAAGGTTAACAAACCTCTAAAGTAAATCTATCTCTTTTACTTTGCCAAATAACCCCAGGAGGTCAATATGTAGTAGAGTGTGGGTAGTACAGTGAATATTCCATAATAATATTATTATTACACTTGAAAAAACTAAAGCTTAAGGAGATTAAGTAACTAATCTGGTAAAGACTGGATTTAAATCCAAGCCTTTCTCATGCTCTTAGTCTCCATTCTATTCTTCTTCCTTACACATAAAAATAGGAAGGACACCATTGTGGTGTCCTTTCACAATATATACAAATACTGAACACGTAAAAATAAAGTTATATGTCACTTCTTCCCCTTTTAAAAACAAATGGTAAAGAAGTTAACTAAAGTAATATGACATGATAACCCAAACAGTCCCAATTATGGTGCATCTAAAACAAGATAAAAGAGCCCTGGCTGGTTTGGCTCAACGGTTAGAGCGTCCGCCTTGGTCCGGAGAGACCCGGGTTTGGTTCCCGCTAAGGGCATGTACCTTGGTTGCAGTTTGTCCCTGGCCCTGGTTGGTCGGGCGGGTGGCAATCACTCAATGTGTCCCTTTCACATCGATGTTTCCCTCTCTCTCTCCCTCCCACTCTGTCTGTACAAAAAATGAAAAAATATCCTCGGGTGAGGATAAAAAAAAATAAAACAAGATAAAAGAAAGCAACTTTTACCTAATATAAAAGCTAAAAGTTATATTTGGGGTGGAAGGGAGAAAAGGCCAAAGGCAGACACGCTGAAGTACAAGCAAACACACACACAAATCCTCAAAACAAAAACCTAACCCATATCACATAAAAGAATATATGGCTATTGTATCTGGGCCTAAAAAAGTATCACGCATACTTGACTGATCAGGGCAAGCTACTATCTAAACACAGGCCCAAGGACCAGACTGTTTTCTCTACTCTATCAGATGACCAAGTTACTGCAACTGAATACTCCAGGGAGTAATGATGTGAGAATGCAAAAGAGCTCAGAAGTTTTGAAAGCAAGAGTTTCTTGTATTCCTATCCTTGGGGAATAACTATTACCTATGCTGGGGGGGGGGGGGACTAAAAAAGAAAGAAAAAAAGCTAAATATGTCTGACCATCTCATTACCTCCTATATTAAGGAGGTAACTTTGAAGACTTCTCTTCAAAGTTAATTAATCCTGCAGGTACAGGGACATGCCCCTGTTTTCATTTCAATGTTACAAACACATTCCAAAACAGATATCATCAATGTTCTTTTCAGTGTTCTAAGGAGCCCATGTGCAAAGAAATGTCCTAGATCATGAAGTCTGGAGACAGAAATGCAAATTCATATCAAATCCATACCCAATATGCAGTCATCCATGGCTTAACGTAGCAGACTGCAAGCTCCTTGAGAACAAGGACCCTGCCATGGTCCTGCATCTTATTCATGCTGATCCCCACCAGACACCCACTAGCTCTTTCTAACGATGCCAGTGAAAGCAGCTGCTTTCCCACTAACCCCGTCAGTTAACAGCAAACAAATGTTTATAGCTTACTGCTTAAATTTTATTTAGGTAGAACCATAAAAAATTTAAAGCCGTGACGTTTAAACTTTATTTGGGTAGAATAAAATACACCTTTAGTAAAGTAGCAAGTTTCTTGCAGCACAGTTCCATTCTGAAGGTTAAAAACAAAACTTGGAGCTGCTGCCCAAAGTACTGAATTGGCTCTAGAAATGGACATCACCACCAGTGCCTCTTTAAAGACTATTCCATATGCTACCTGCAACTTGCAGGTGCCAAATCATTTCCCTCCTAAATGCTTACTTAGCCTGGGCAGCCAGAGGCTGACCAGGTGGAATCAAACGCCCAGGGTCTAGCATTAAAAGACCCTCGGCATTCAAGTCCAGATTTTTCCAATACCCGCTTTGCGATTTGGGGCGAGTCAATTAGCCAAATACCTCTCATTTCCTCTTCTGTAAACTCGGGAGAGAAAATACCTGTCCTCAAGTGGAGAGGCTGCTCCAGAGGGATACGGGTCGTCCTGCCGCCCCCACCCCGCCCCCGGCTCAGGTGCATCCCAAGAGAGAAGGAGCTGGAGACAGCGGTGCATCGTTCACGACGCCCGGGAAAGGATGCTCCCTTCACCAACCCTACCCTTGAGACGGCGGCCGCGGCGCGCGCGCTGACATTCGCCACCGCAGCAGCGTCGCCCGTCCCGGCCGCCTGCCCCGCGCGCCTCCAGCGGTCCCTCCCTGCGAGTCTGCAGGCTCGCCCCGCGCCCGCGATCCCTGACCCGCCTGGCGCCGCGAACGCCAGCCCACGGGGACTGCCCCGCTCGCCTCCGCGGGCCTGCCGCTCCGCCCGGATGGGGGCCAAGCCTCAACCAGCTTCGCCCCGAGGGCCTCGCCTCCCCGTCTCCCCAGGTCCGGCAGGGACGGGGTGGTCGCGAGGCTTGGACTCCTTACCCGGGAGCTTGAGCGCCCTGGACAGCACTGTCGCCATGGCGGAGGCCCCGGTGCGCGTGCGCGCGCCCACGTCCTGTCGGGAAATGTAGTTCCGAGTGGGCGGTGCGCGGGGCTGGGACCCAAAGGTGGGAGCCGCAAGGCGAAGCAGGATCACGGGGAGGAGCCGGCCTGTGACCTCCGCGCCCCGCTGCGCGCTCCTGCAGGTTCTTCTCCCGCCCACTCGGGGCCAGGGCCCTTACTTGGCAAGTGACCTGTGTCACCTTCTCCTAAGTGAAATGGGGAGATGATAACTACCACGTAGGCTTGCAGTGAGAATGGAATGACATAACCGATGTTAAAGGAGGCGCGGGTTGAGAAATGCGCCCTGGGCTTTGGAGACAAGACAGACGGGATTTCAGTCCCTACTACCTGGGCCATCTTGGGCAAGTCACTTGGTATGACTAAGTTTCAGCTTCATTTTTTAAATGAAGACAATACTATCTGCTGCACAAGCTTACTGTGAGTATCAATTATATAATCCGTTTAAAACACAGCGCACAATAGGCAACTGTTTCTTAGGTAAAGGTGGAGGCTGCCTGGGGCTCTAACCCTCATCTCTTATTACCAGTTTACGTGACACTCTACCTGCAGTTCCTAGCTTGAAGGGTCTGGGAAGCAGAAACTGACCTGGCTCTTCCTCACAGGCACCAAGAGATCAGCATTTTAGTGCAGAAGTGCTGAAGATGTTATCTAGTCCACCCTCCTTGATTTGTCTGAAAAGGTGATGTAATTTCTCTAATGTCAAACAAAAGCTAAGATACCTCTCAACTGGGAGGCTGCCACATTCCCATGAAAAACTGTAGCTAGGACTATCCTGTAGGTATAATCTGATAGACTCTAACAGCCATCCCCATTAACCATTTCCCCAGAAAAAAAAATGGCACTGAGTCTCCCATGGCTATTGAAGTGGCTGTTATTTATGCTGGTGTAAGGGGGTATCTTGAATAAACTGGAGCCCATGAAGAAAACAAAGTTTGAAAATACTCCCTTATCTCATGTTACCAACCAACACCAAGCCCTGTTGGGTAATGTCAGGGTTGACAGAAAGATCTCAAAACAGTCAGATGCAAAGCTGGAAGAGATTTGTAACAAACTACTTGGCTGTACTTGGAGCTTAAACTCCTATGGATTCACATCAGATACCAGTTTGATTTTGTCATTGTTTCTTCTAGTCAGTTCCATTTGTAAAAGGATTACTCTCATACCCCAGATGCACAGAAATGACCTTAAAAATAAAGGTTTGAGCCCTGGCCGGTTTGGCTCAGCGGTTAGAGCATCAGCCTGCGGTCCGGAGAGACCTGGGTTCGGTTCCCGCTAAGGGCATGTACCTCGGTTGCAGTTTGTCCCCGGCCCTGGTTGGTCGTGCGGGTGGCAGCCACTCGATGTGTCCCTTTCACGTCGATGTTTCTCTCTCTCTCTCTCTTCCTCTCCCTCCCACTCTATCTGTATAAAAAATGGAAAAGTGTCCTCGGGTGAGGATAAAAATAAATAAATAAATAATAAATAAAATAAAGGTTTGATATTGAAAAAAAAAATCTTATCTTACATCTATGTAGTCATTTGAGAGGAGGAGCAACACTACGGGTCACACAGTAAGTCAGTAGTGGCTTGCCTGGCTCATATCAGAGTCGTTCATTGGAACACATTCTTGAGATATGAAAACTGAGACAAAGAACCTTTAAGGTGATCAAGACATAGAAAAAGTCCATTTTAGCTGCAGAAGAGGAGTTTGCATTTCTAGGAGAGGGTACTGTGGACTGGAACAGCCAGGTTACACAGGAGAGAAGGAAAGAGGAAATCTTCCCACTTTCTTAGTGAAAGGGTATATCTAGGAGAATCTCTTCTCCTGTGGTGGGAGAAAAGTAAAGTTGTACAATTTAAAGTTTGATTAAAATGTTGCTTTAAACGATATAGTCCCCCAAAGCAGCAGTGTGCTTAAACACAATCCTGTGTGTGCACATAAACATGTGTGAGTATATACACATCTCATAGATGTGGCATCTCCAGGCCCTCAGCTTTCAATGCCTAACCTTTGTGGCATTTCACTCCCCCTATAATCACCCAGCTTTGCCCAAATGACTTTCAGAGAGAAGTAGCTGCTGAGGCATTGCTTACTCCCGGCTCCCCGAGCTTTCCTCCTTTTTGCCTTACTTGCTCTCTGGAAATGTCTCCCATCCCCCCACATTGTTTTCCATTTTAACACAGGAACCACAGTTTAGAACGACTTTCCTCAAATTTAATGTACTTTTCTTCCAATTAAAGGAAAGATTCAAAGCAGCCATCAAATATGTCAGGATCTTTGCCTTTTACATAGAGAAAACCTGCCAGTATGAGTGTCTTTACTGCCCAAACACCCACTGAGGTCACTGTGGAAAATGCAACCTCCTGGGGCTTCCTGACTTCCCAACGTGGCTTACCTTCCTGAGAAGTGAACCAAGGTGGTTGGGGACTAACCTGCCAGACTGTTGTGCCTGCTATGAAGGAAGAAATTCTACTTCTGAAAGTCACAACTGAAGCCAGCAGAGTCCCTTCTAGTCTTCCTATATTGATCTGCAAGGGAATATTCTTCCCCAAGCTTCCAAAACCTTCCAGTGGAAACATGTCTTGTTAGTTCTTGTGACCTTTGTGATATCCCAAGTATTGCTCAGAATCTCTAAGCATCCTGCATGGGCTCATGGTCAAGTCTGGTCATGCAATACTTTCCATTCCCTGGACACCATGGCCACTTCTGCTGGTCCTGAGCCTCCCAGTAGCTTTCACTGCTTCCGGAACCAGTGCCACCCTGTTCACCAGCAGCTGCCCTGCTTGGCACCACTGGGAACACCAGGCCTGTGGCCATTTCTGTTAATTTTTTCCCCTCACCCGATGCCTAGAGCGAGAAAGGAAGAGAGAAAGAGAAAGAAGAGAGAAACATCGATGTGAGACAGACACATAGAATGGTTGCCACCCACACGACTCCAACCGGGGTGGGGACAAACTGCTACCGGGGTATGTGCCCCCAGCGGGAACTGAACTCGGGACTTTCTGGACCGTGGGCCTATGCTCTAACCACTGAGCAAAACCAGCCAGGGACCTTGTGGGCATTTCTACCTCCCTTCAAAAGGTGTTACTACTTGTATCACTTACAAGTCAATATGACTTCATATTCCAGTGCTGTTAAAATGTCAAAGCTGGCCCTGGCCAGTTTGGTTCAGCGGTTAGAGCATCAGCCCGTGGATCGGACAGTCTCAGGTTCAATTCCCGCTAAGGGCATGTACCTCGGTTGCAGTTTGTCCCCGGCCCCGGTTTGGGTTTTGTGGGTGGCAGCCACTCGATGTGTCTCTCTCTCACATCGATGTCTCTCTCTTTCTCTTCCTCCCTCTTTCTCCCGCTCTATCCGAAGATAAATGCATAAAATAATAAATAAATAAAAATTAAAAATGTCAAAGCTGTTTAGTGCAATGGCAGCTAGGGAGAACTGCCTCTCTCTTCTTTTTAGGTTATACTTACTAGAAAAATATCAGTGCTCTGCTGCCTGTTCTTCAAGGTCAAATGCAGTATTTTCATTAAACAGAGCTTTCCCTTTTTACTTAGTGAGTCAGCTAGGTTAAGGTAAAACAAACAACCACAATTTCAGTGGTTTTAGACAAGAAGAGTTTATTTCTGCTCATGTCCAGTCAAGGCAAGAGCAGGGATAGGCAGCACTGGGGCTCTGTTCCTCCCTGTCACTCAGGGACCCAGGCTCCTTCCTCATCCTTAGGGCCTGGAGTCCTCCACTGGACATTTGCATCCCCAGTTATGCAGGAAGTGGTAGGGGCCAGGCCTGCGGTGGTATATGTGACTTCTGCCCACATTTATTTAGCCAGAACTCAGACACAGAATGCAGGCATGGGCAAAAGTAGTTTTATAGTTATGTGTTTGAGCCCAGCTGGTGTGGCTCAGTGGTTGAGCATCAACCCATGCACCAAGAAGTCGCTGGTTTGATTCCCAGTCAGGGCACATGCCCACGTGTGGGCCAGGTCCCCAGTGGGGGGCAGGCAGGAGGCAGCCAGTTGATGTTCCCTCTCATCGATGTTTCTATCTCACTCTCCCTCTCCCTTCCTCTCTCTCTAAAATCAATAAAGGAAAAAATATATATAAACATATATATACATATATGTAGTTACGAGTTCATGAAACACAGAGTTTATTCTTGTATTATTTATTAATTATTGTATTTGTGTTGTTGTTTTTTTGTATCCTTACTTATGATTTACCTTTTAGGTAATGGTGGCTGGTAATTTAACCAACGTCCGTCTTTTTCCATACAAACAACTGTAACCCTACTTTTGCCTACCCCTGTATGTGTGTCAGGAAGGTATGAGCCCCGGAAGAAAAGGAAACAGTGTGGTGAGCATCTGGCCAGTCTCTGCTGCTCTAGTCACCCCACGTCTTCATAGGATAGAGACCTGGTTCTAGGTGGTGGGGAGGGGATTCGAGCACTGCTCTTCTTGGAATTGTCCTTCTCCTCTAGGGACTAAAGCTTTGTTCCTGAGCTGAGCTTGTGCCCTAAGTTAGGACTTTCCACTGTGTGTAAGGTAAAGTTCTCCCAGAAGACTCCTCAATCCCTCTGCAGAGACTTCTGGAAGCCATTCCTACATCTGTCAGCAGGGCACAGCCAAGTCTGAACCCAGTGGCAGACCATCTCAGGCTCAGAGTGGTACCCTCTGCTACATTGGTGTTAAAGAGAGAGTGTCAGGAAGCAATAATAAGAATGAGATGCCCTGGCCGATTTTGCTCAGCGGTTAGAGCGTCAGTCTGTGGTACGGAGAGACCTGGGTTTGATTCCCACTAAGGGCACGTACCTCAGTTGCAGTTTGTCCCCGGCCCTGGTTGGGTGGTGTGGGTGGCAGCCACTTGATGTATTCCTTTCACATCGATGTTTCTCTCTCTCTCTCTCCCCCTCCCACTCTATCTGAACAAAATATTGAAAAATGCCCTTGGGTGAGGATAAAAAATGAGATTAACAGGTAACAGAAAATACTGTAATAAATAGC